ACTATTTTGTTATGAGGTTACCTGGGTGATGTTGACAGGTATGGTTACTTTTCAGTGACACTATTTTGTTGGCTCACCTGCCCGAAAGCTTTGTTGGAAGGAACCCGACAAAGTTTGAGAACGAAAATGACTTTGACCTTCTTTCAAGGTCACAGGAGTGTGTCAAACACTTCAAACAAATTCTTCTGAAGAACTAAAAGGTATCGAATCTTCATATTTGGCTGATGGCTTCCTGGGATAGAGCCCAACAAAGTGTAAGAACAAAAATGACCTTGACCTCCTTTGCAAGGTCACGGGTCAAATGTGAACTCTTCAAACAATTTCTTTTGAAGAACTGAATGGTATAGAAATCGTCAAATTTGGCTGGTGGATTCTTTGGATAGAGCCCAACAAAGTTTGAGAATGAAAATGACCTTGACCTACTTTCAAGGTCACAGGGGTCAAATGTGTCAAACTATTCAAACAACTTCTTCTGAAGAACTGAAAGGTATAGAATCTTTATATTTGGCTGATGGCTTCCTGTGATAGAGCCCTAAAAAGTTTGAGAATGAAAATGACCTTGATCTACTTTCAAGGTCACAGGGAAAAATATGTCAAACTTCTGAAGAAGAACCAAAAAGCATAGAATCTTATAATAATACCTGGCTGGTAGTTTCATCAGATGGAGCCGACAAAGTTTGCGAGGGAAATATTTGTAGTGCAATATAATATTTAATGAGAATATTTTGCTCTGACTGCTTAAATATTCAGGTGAGCAATACAGGCCCTCTGGTCCTCTTGTTATGAGGATTCCTGGGTTTTGTTGACAGGTGTGGTAAGGGGAGAGAAGTACAGCTCCGGTGAATACCCATGTGAGAGTGATCTTGTCATCTTAAACTACGTGTCCGAGATGCCTGACCCAGCACAGCCTAGCGGGCCACTCCAGTACGTACAGCGGGCCACCTTTGGGTTTATAGAGAGGGTCACACACCACAAAGCCCAGGACATCCCTCAACTTTACAATGGCCTTCCATTACTTAGTGAGTACATCACAATGGAGACATATAAGGGCAAACTGTATACTTTTCAATTTCTGGTACATATCATGGATGTATAGTTGAATAGAAAAATGCATTTTAATACTATCGTTAAGGGTTCGTATAAAATTGTTTGGCTCCACAAATACAGACCTTTCATATTTGACATCATAATGAACATTTTTCAGGAGAAGATGCACAAGCTTTGGGAAATCAGAATGTGGCTACTCTGAAGCTGAAACTGAAGATAAGGAATGGCAGAAATATACGAATGGCACCACAACCAGCCACTCTCCAGGTACTACGGCTCATACGTTCATACTTTCAATATGATCAATATTTCTCAAGACAATACACATATCATATCGCAATTTCACTATTGTGAAAATCTTGGACTAGATTATATACACTTTTAGATTTTCATTGTTGGGATATGACTTTCTGATACTTATCTGTGTATCGTGGCTCTGTATCACAATATCATATCATGAGCTTAATGGCAATACTCAGCACTACCAGGTACATCTATATAGTGAATATACTTATTAGTATCTGGCCTGAACTTGACTTTGTATGACATGGTAATGTGCATAATACATGTAATGTAATATCAATAAGTTGTATTGCTTATGATGATAAAAGAATTGAATCTATAAGTTAACTGAACAAGCCACTATCTATGTATATTCATAGGTAAAGTAAACAATCTAGTCTGTCTGTCTGTCACGCTTCGTTTCCGTGCAATAACTACAAGAAATGTTTTCTTCAAACTGAGTACTCGGGTTAAATGACTTCAGGGCTCGGCCAAGTTTGATGACCACTTTCAGCGAACTTTATTTGGCGGAGTTATGGCCCCTTGAATAACGAAAAACGTCATTATCTGATGTTTCCTCTTAATGACTCTAGCAAGTATTAGATAAGGCTTTTTTTCTTCGAGTTTCAAGCTATACATTTTGTCTCGACAGCACGGTACTCACATGTTTAAACCTAACCTCAGTAATGTTTACCTACAATATGTCCTGAAAGCGGGGGATATAAATTCCACGAATTTGCTTGTTGTATACAATGTTATTACAGGTCCCCCAGTTGGCAGAGAGATAGAGCCCAAAATAGGGGCAATAAAGGCGTTTTAACAATTAAACCATTAGTTCTGAAGTATTTGAAAGATTTAAACAGTTGGGTAAATGGTAATGTAGCATTGTCAGGACAAGGGAACTGTTTTGTGTATAATGTTGTGTTTCCTCAGAAAGAACAGGGTCAATTGCATACTGGCTTTCAAACATTTAAAAAAGCTCCTCCTCCTGAAGTATTCGATATATTACAATCATATTTGGAACATAAGATTACAAGGACAAAGGAATCGTATTTTGTAATACCAGATAAAAGAAGGTTGTGACCCACCCCCTCTGCAAGGGGGGCAAAGGGACATGACCCAATAGGTAGCAGTTTTGTCTTTTTATGTTTTTTTAAAGCATGATTGAGTTAATCATGATGTACACACATTATAATTTATGTTTGATTGCAGAGAGTAGTGTCCCTTGTATCAATTGTAAGGCAGTATAATGCCCTGGTGGAGCTGCGCAGGAATGTGCTGTGGCGACACATACTGGAGCCAGGCAGGGCAGATGTGTTCGCTGAGATACAGCCAGTGACAGAGACTTTACGTACACAGCTGGTAAGATACAGAAAGGATATACAGCTGGTAAAATGTGACACTGGATATACAGCTGGTAAAAATATTGCATAGTACATTTAGTCTGTAAACTACCACACAGGTTACATAGTACATTTAGTCTGTAAACTACCACACAGGTTACATAGTACATTTAGTCTGCAAACTACCACACAGGTTACATAGTACATTTAGTCTGCAAACTACCACACAGGTTACATAGTACATTTAGTCTGTAAACTACCACACAGGTTACATAGTACATTTAGTCTGTAAACTACCACACAGGTTACATAGTACATTTAGTCTGCAAACTACCACACAGGTTACATAGTACATTTAGTCTGCAAACTACCACACAGGTTACATAGTACATTTAGTCTGTAAACTACCACACAGGTTACATAGTACATTTAGTCTGTAAACTACCACACAGGTTACATAGTACATTTAGTCTGTTAGCCACCACACAGGTTACATAGTACATTTAGTCTGTTAGCCACCACACAGGTTACATAGTACATTTAGTCTGTTAGCCACCACACAGGTTACATAGTACATTTAGTCTGTTAGCCACCACACAGGTTACATAGTACATTTAGTCTGTTAGCCACCACACAGGTTACATAGTACATTTAGTCTGTTAGCCACCACACAGGTTACATAGTACATTTAGTCTGTTAGCCACCACACAGGTTACATAGTACATTTAGTCTGTTAGCCACCACACAGGTTACATAGTACATTTAGTCTGTTAGCCACCACACAGGTTACATAGTACATTTAGTCTGTTAGCCACCACACAGGTTACATAGTACATTTAGTCTGTTAGCCACCACACAGGTTACATAGTACATTTAGTCTGTTAGCCACCACACAGGTTACATAGTACATTTAGTCTGTTAGCCACCACACAGGTTACATAGTACATTTAGTCTGTTAGCCACCACACAGGTTACATAGTACATTTAGTCTGTTAGCCACCACACAGGTTACATAGTACATTTAGTCTGTTAGCCACCACACAGGTTACATAGTACATTTAGTCTGTTAGCCACCACACAGGTTACATAGTACATTTAGTCTGTTAGCCACCACACAGGTTACATAGTACATTTAGTCTGTTAGCCACCACACAGGTTACATAGTACATTTAGTCTGTTAGCCACCACACAGGTTACATAGTACATTTAGTCTGTTAGCCACCACACAGGTTACATAGTACATTTAGTCTGTTAGCCACCACACAGGTTACATAGTACATTTAGTCTGTTAGCCACCACACAGGTTACATAGTACATTTAGTCTGTTAGCCACCACACAGGTTACATAGTACATTTAGTCTGTTAGCCACCACACAGGTTACATAGTACATTTAGTCTGTTAGCCACCACACAGGTTACATAGTACATTTAGTCTGTTAGCCACCACACAGGTTACATAGTACATTTAGTCTGTTAGCCACCACACAGGTTACATAGTACATTTAGTCTGTTAGCCACCACACAGGTTACATAGTACATTTAGTCTGTTAGCCACCACACAGGTTACATAGTACATTTAGTCTGTTAGCCACCACACAGGTTACATAGTACATTTAGTCTGTTAGCCACCACACAGGTTACATAGTACATTTAGTCTGTTAGCCACCACACAGGTTACATAGTACATTTAGTCTGTTAGCCACCACACAGGTTACATAGTACATTTAGTCTGTTAGCCACCACACAGGTTACATAGTACATTTAGTCTGTTAGCCACCACACAGGTTACATAGTACATTTAGTCTGTTAGCCACCACACAGGTTACATAGTACATTTAGTCTGTTAGCCACCACACAGGTTACATAGTACATTTAGTCTGTTAGCCACCACACAGGTTACATAGTACATTTAGTCTGTTAGCCACCACACAGGTTACATAGTACATTTAGTCTGTTAGCCACCACACAGGTTACATAGTACATTTAGTCTGTTAGCCACCACACAGGTTACATAGTACATTTAGTCTGTTAGCCACCACACAGGTTACATAGTACATTTAGTCTGTTAGCCACCACACAGGTTACATAGTACATTTAGTCTGTTAGCCACCACACAGGTTACATAGTACATTTAGTCTGTTAGCCACCACACAGGTTACATAGTACATTTAGTCTGTTAGCCACCACACAGGTTACATAGTACATTTAGTCTGTTAGCCACCACACAGGTTACATAGTACATTTAGTCTGTTAGCCACCACACAGGTTACATAGTACATTTAGTCTGTTAGCCACCACACAGGTTACATAGTACATTTAGTCTGTTAGCCACCACACAGGTTACATAGTACATTTAGTCTGTTAGCCACCACACAGGTTACATAGTACATTTAGTCTGTTAGCCACCACACAGGTTACATAGTACATTTAGTCTGTTAGCCACCACACAGGTTACATAGTACATTTAGTCTGTTAGCCACCACACAGGTTACATAGTACATTTAGTCTGTTAGCCACCACACAGGTTACATAGTACATTTAGTCTGTTAGCCACCACACAGGTTACATAGTACATTTAGTCTGTTAGCCACCACACAGGTTACATAGTACATTTAGTCTGTTAGCCACCACACAGGTTACATAGTACATTTAGTCTGTTAGCCACCACACAGGTTACATAGTACATTTAGTCTGTTAGCCACCACACAGGTTACATAGTACATTTAGTCTGTTAGCCACCACACAGGTTACATAGTACATTTAGTCTGTTAGCCACCACACAGGTTACATAGTACATTTAGTCTGTTAGCCACCACACAGGTTACATAGTACATTTAGTCTGTTAGCCACCACACAGGTTACATAGTACATTTAGTCTGTAAACTACCACACAGGTTATATAGTACATTTAGTCTGTAAACCACCACACAGGTTACATAGTACATTTAGTCTGTAAACTACCACACAGGTTACATAATACATTTAGTCTGTTAGCCACCACACAGGTTACATAGTACATTTAGTCTGTTAGCCACCACATAGGTTACATAGTTGGTGAGCTATGGCCCGAGACACTGAGACTGTCCCTATATTCTATCACAGCTTTGAAATGATTAAGAACCATTTTTCTAAAATTCAGTATTCACATCAAAGAGACATAAATACATCAGATCTTTTCGAGTATATATTTTGATTTGGGTACAGAGAGGCTACAATCCATCCCAGCAAAGGGCCATCTGTACGGCAGCCAAGGTGGCCATGCAGCCTGTCAATCTGCCACGGGTCTGTCTGCTGCAGGGACCACCAGGGACCGGCAAATCTCACACCATCGTCGGTATAGTGGACAAAATCATCAGGGTGAGTCTTTAAAATAGTGTCACCTCACAGTGACGTCTTATCATCATTTAGGTCTCTACTTCATATTGACATGTTACCACTTTCATTTTACAAGTTCATAAACTACTGTAACGGGGTAGAATCAGCTTTACAAGAGAAATCAATTTAGGGTCAATTTTGAAATTTTCATTTCCTGATCTATAGATTAGAGGATTATGGTATGACAAAACCTCAGTTTCTTGCTACAGGGTCAGTTTTTAACTTTTTAAGTGACACAATTTTGTGTCATAGCTTTCCAAACATCATTATTTCTGTCTGGGGCCTTGTCATATGGAGATAGGAGGGGCCTTGTCCCAAGAAGATAGGAGGGGCCTTGTCCCAAGGAGATAGGAGGGGCCTTGTCGCATGGAGATAGGAGCCTTGTCGTAAGGAGATAGGAGGGGCCTTGTCTTAAGGAGATAGGAAGGGCCTTGTCGCAAGGAGATAGGAGGGGCCTTGTCATGAGGAGAAACAGAAAGCCAGATCATAAGGAGATAGGAGGGGCCTTGTCATAAGGAGATAGGAGGGGCCTTGTCGCAAGGAGATACGAGGGGCCTTGTCATAAGGAGATAGGAAGGGCCTTGTCGTAAAGAGATAGGAGGGCCTTGTCACAAGGAGATAGGAGGGGCCTTGTCTTAAGGAGATAGGAAGGGCCTTGTCGCAAGGAGATAGGAGGGGCCTTGTCATAAGGAGATAGGACGGGCCTTGTCGTAAGGAGATAGGAGGGGCCTTGTCGTAAGGAGATAGGAGGGGCCTTGTCTTAAGGATATAGGAAGGGCCTTGTCGCGAGGAGATAGGAGGGGCCTTGTCAGGAGGAGAAACAGAAAGCCAGATCATAAGGAGATAGGAGGGGCCTTGTCATAAGTAGATAGGAGGGGCCTTGTCGTAAGAAGATAGGAGGGGCTGTGACACAAGGAGGGGCAGAGCCATAAGGAGATAGGAGGGGCCTTGTCGGATGGAGATAGGAGGGGCCTTGTCTTAAGGAGATAGGAGGGGCCTTGTCGTAAGAAGATAGGAGGGGCTGTGACACAAGGAGGGGCAGAGGCATAAGGAGATAGGAGGGGCTGTGACACAAGGAGGGGTAGAGTCATAAGGAGATAGGAGGGGCCTTGTCGCAGGGAGTTAGGAGCCTTGTCGTAAGGAGATAGGAGGGGCATTGTCTTAAGGATATAGGAAGGGCCTTGTCGCGAGGAGATAGGAGGGGCCTTGTCATAAGTAGATAGGAGGGGCCTTGTCGTAAGAAGATAGGAGGGGCTGTGACAGAAGGAGGGGCAGAGTCATAAGGAGATAGGAGGGGCTGTGACACAAGGAGGGGCAGAGCCATAAGGAGATAGGAGGGGCCTTGTCGCAAGGAGATACGAGGGGCCTTGTCATAAGGAGATAGGAGAGGCCTTGTCGTAAGAAGATAGGAGGGGCTGTGGCACAAGGAGGGGCAGAGTCATAAGGAGCTAGGAGGGGCTGTGACACAAGGAGGGTCAGGGTCATAAGGACATAGAGGGAGCCAGATCACAAGGGGATAGGAGGGGCCTTGTCGTAAGGATATAGGAGGGGCCTTGTCTTAAGGAGATAGGAAGGGCCTTGTCGCAAGGAGATAGGAGGGGCCTTGCCATAAGGAGATAGGAGGGGCCTTGTCATAAGTAGATAGGAGGGGCCTTGTCGTAAGGAGATAGGAGGGGCCTTGTCGTATGGAGATAGGAGGGGCCTTGTCTTAAGGAGATAGGAGGGGCCTTGTCATAAAGAGATAGGAGGGGCCTTGTCGTAAGGATATAGGAGGGGCCTTGTCTTAAGGATATAGGAAGGGCCTTGTCGCGAGGAGATAGGAGGGGCCTTGTCATAAGGAGATAGGACGGGCCTTGTCGTAAGGAGATAGGAGGGGCCTTGTCGTATGGAGATAGGAGGGGCCTTGTCTTAAGGAGATAGGAAGGGCCTTGTCGTAAGGAGATAGGAGGGGCCTTGTCGCAGGGAGTTAGGAGCCTTGTCGTAAGGAGATAGGAGGGGCCTTGTCGTATGGAGATAGGAGGGGCCTTGTCTTAAGGAGAAAGAAGGGGCCTTGTCGCAAGGAGATAGGAGGGGCCTTGTCGTAAGAAGATAGGAGGGGCTGTGACACAAGGAGGGGCAGAGTCATAAGGAGATAGGAGGGGCTGTGACACAAGGAGGGTCAGGGTCATAAGGAGATAGAGGGAGCCAGATCACAAGGGGATAGGAGGGGCCTTGTCGTAAGGATATAGGAGGGGCCATGTCATAAGGAGATAAAAGGGGCCTCGTTTAAGGAGATAGGAGGGGCTGTGACACAAGGAGGGGCAGGGTCATAAGGAGATAGAGGGAGCCAGATCATAAGGAGATAGGAGGGGCCTTGTCGTAAGGAGATAGGAGAGCCCTTGTCGTAAGGAGATAGGAGGGGCCTTGTAGTAAGGAGATAGGAGGGCCCTTGTCGTAAGGAGATAGGAGGGGCCTTATAGTAAGGAGATAGGAGAGGTTGTGCCATATGGGGATAGTTATAAGGGGATAGGAAGGTCCCTGTTATAAGGGGATAGGAAGGTCCCTGTTATAAGGGGATAGGAAGGTCCTTGTTATAAGGGGATAGGAAGGTCCCTGTTATAAGGGGATATGAGGGACCAGGAATGGTATAAACCTGATCATTGAGATTTATGAACGCCCTCATTACTACACAGTCAGTTTTTTTCTGTAACAGTTATATTACAACTGAATGCACAAGTTGATTTGTATTTGTATTTTTGTTCACCCCAGGACACACAGGGAAAGGGGCGTATTTGTCTCTGTACACCATCAAATGCTGCTGTGGACGAGGTTATTCGTAGGTTGATCTCTCACAAGAAGCGTGTAACAAGAGGTAACGTATTATGGTTCTATTACTACTGGTACATTTTTAGGTCACCTGAGCTTTAGCTCGTTGTGCGGCGTCCGTTAACATTTTACATTTTCAACTTAAGCTGAAATACTGGCAAAGGGATTTCATTAATATTTCATGGAAAGGTTACTGACATGTCCCTGACCAAGTGCTGTTATTTTTCGGGTCAATTAGAAATCCAATATGGCCACCACGGCCGCCATTTTGAAAAACTATTTCAAACTTAAAGTTTAGTTCTGCTGGGCTGATTTAATTGAAATTTGGTAGGAATGATCGACTCATGGTCCTGACAAAGTGTTGTTAATTTTTGGGTCAATCAGAAATCCAATTTGGCCGCCACGGCCGCCATTTTAAAAACTATTTCAAGCTTAAAGTCAAGTTCTGCTAGGTCGATTGAACTGAATCTTTGTAGGAATGATCGACTCATGGTCCTGACAAAGTGTTGTTAATTTTTGGGTCAATCAGAAATCCAATTTGGTCGCCACGGCCACCATTTTAAAAACTATTTCAAACTTAAAGTCAGTTCTGCTGGGCCGATTGAACTGAAACTTTGAAGGAATGATCGACTCATAGTCCTGACAAAGTGTTGTTAATTTTTCGGGTCAATCAGAAATCCAATATGGCTGCAACAGCCGCTATATTGAAAATAACTATTTTAAGCTTAAAAATGAGTTCTAATAGGCCGATTTGACTGAAACTCGGTCTAGGAATGATTAGCTCATGGTCCTGACAAACTTAAGTTAACGTTATACTGTGTACTGTATACTTGGTGTAGTGTATAGTTGGTGTAGTGTATAGTTGGTGTAGTGTATTCTTGGTGTAGTGTATAGTTGGTGTAGTGTATAGTTGGTGTAGTGTATACTTGGTGTAGTGTATAGTTGGTGTAGTGTATAGTTGGTGTAGTGTATAGTTGGTGTAGTGTATAGTTGGTGTAGTGTATAGTTGGTGTAGTGTATAGTTGGTGTAGTGTATAGTTGGTGTAGTGTATAGTTGGTGTAGTGTATAGTTGGTGTAGTGTATAGTTGGTGTAGTGTATAGTTGGTGTAGTGTATAGTTGGTGTAGTGTATAGTTGGTGTAGTGTATAGTTGGTGTAGTGTATAGTTGGTGTAGTGTATAGTTGGTGTAGTGTATAGTTGGTGTAGTGTATAGTTGGTGTAGTGTATAGTTGGTGTAGTGTATAGTTGGTGTAGTGTATAGTTGGTGTAGTGTATAGTTGGTGTAGTGTATAGTTGGTGTAGTGTATAGTTGGTGTAGTGTATAGTTGGTGTAGTGTATAGTTGGTGTAGTGTATAGTTGGTGTAGTGTATAGTTGGTGTAGTGTATAGTTGGTGTAGTGTATAGTTGGTGTAGTGTATAGTTGGTGTAGTGTATAGTTGGTGTAGTGTATAGTTGGTGTAGTGTATAGTTGGTGTAGTGTATAGTTGGTGTAGTGTATAGTTGGTGTAGTGTATAGTTGGTGTAGTGTATAGTTGGTGTAGTGTATAGTTGGTGTAGTGTATAGTTGGTGTAGTGTATAGTTGGTGTAGTGTATAGTTGGTGTAGTGTATAGTTGGTGTAGTGTATAGTTGGTGTAGTGTATAGTTGGTGTAGTGTATAGTTGGTGTAGTGTATAGTTGGTGTAGTGTATAGTTGGTGTAGTGTATAGTTGGTGTAGTGTATAGTTGGTGTAGTGTATAGTTGGTGTAGTGTATAGTTGGTGTAGTGTATAGTTGGTGTAGTGTATAGTTGGTGTAGTGTATAGTTGGTGTAGTGTATAGTTGGTGTAGTGTATAGTTGGTGTAGTGTATAGTTGGTGTAGTGTATAGTTGGTGTAGTGTATAGTTGGTGTAGTGTATAGTTGGTGTAGTGTATAGTTGGTGTAGTGTATAGTTGGTGTAGTGTATAGTTGGTGTAGTGTATAGTTGGTGTAGTGTATAGTTGGTGTAGTGTATAGTTGGTGTAGTGTATAGTTGGTGTAGTGTATAGTTGGTGTAGTGTATAGTTGGTGTAGTGTATAGTTGGTGTAGTGTATAGTTGGTATAGTGTATAGTTGGTGTAGTGTATACTTGGTGTAGTGTATAGTTGGTGTAGTGTATAGTTGGTGTAGTGTATAGTTGGTGTAGTGTATAGTTGGTGTAGTGTATAGTTGGTGTAGTGTATAGTTGGTGTAGTGTATAGTTGGTGTAGTGTATAGTTGGTGTAGTGTATAGTTGGTGTAGTGTATAGTTGGTGTAGTGTATAGTTGGTGTAGTGTATAGTTGGTGTAGTGTATAGTTGGTGTAGTGTATAGTTGGTGTAGTGTATAGTTGGTGTAGTGTATAGTTGGTGTAGTGTATAGTTGGTGTAGTGTATAGTTGGTGTAGTGTATAGTTGGTGTAGTGTATAGTTGGTGTAGTGTATAGTTGGTGTAGTGTATAGTTGGTGTAGTGTATAGTTGGTGTAGTGTATAGTTGGTGTAGTGTATAGTTGGTGTAGTGTATAGTTGGTGTAGTGTATAGTTGGTGTAGTGTATAGTTGGTGTAGTGTATAGTTGGTGTAGTGTATAGTTGGTGTAGTGTATAGTTGGTGTAGTGTATAGTTGGTGTAGTGTATAGTTGGTGTAGTGTATAGTTGGTGTAGTGTATAGTTGGTGTAGTGTATAGTTGGTGTAGTGTATAGTTGGTGTAGTGTATAGTTGGTGTAGTGTATAGTTGGTGTAGTGTATAGTTGGTGTAGTGTATAGTTGGTGTAGTGTATAGTTGGTGTAGTGTATAGTTGGTGTAGTGTATAGTTGGTGTAGTGTATAGTTGGTGTAGTGTATAGTTGGTGTAGTGTATAGTTGGTGTAGTGTATAGTTGGTGTAGTGTATAGTTGGTGTAGTGTATAGTTGGTGTAGTGTATAGTTGGTGTAGTGTATAGTTGGTGTAGTGTATAGTTGGTGTAGTGTATAGTTGGTGTAGTGTATAGTTGGTGTAGTGTATAGTTGGTGTAGTGTATAGTTGGTGTAGTGTATAGTTGGTGTAGTGTATAGTTGGTGTAGTGTATAGTTGGTGTAGTGTATAGTTGGTGTAGTGTATAGTTGGTGTAGTGTATAGTTGGTGTAGTGTATAGTTGGTGTAGTGTATAGTTGGTGTAGTGTATAGTTGGTGTAGTGTATAGTTGGTGTAGTGTATAGTTGGTGTAGTGTATAGTTGGTGTAGTGTATAGTTGGTGTAGTGTATAGTTGGTGTAGTGTATAGTTGGTGTAGTGTATAGTTGGTGTAGTGTATAGTTGGTGTAGTGTATAGTTGGTGTAGTGTATAGTTGGTGTAGTGTATAGTTGGTGTAGTGTATAGTTGGTGTAGTGTATAGTTGGTGTAGTGTATAGTTGGTGTAGTGTATAGTTGGTGTAGTGTATAGTTGGTGTAGTGTATAGTTGGTGTAGTGTATAGTTGGTGTAGTGTATAGTTGGTGTAGTGTATAGTTGGTGTAGTGTATAGTTGGTGTAGTGTATAGTTGGTGTAGTGTATAGTTGGTGTAGTGTATAGTTGGTGTAGTGTATAGTTGGTGTAGTGTATAGTTGGTGTAGTGTATAGTTGGTGTAGTGTATAGTTGGTGTAGTGTATAGTTGGTGTAGTGTATAGTTGGTGTAGTGTATAGTTGGTGTAGTGTATAGTTGGTGTAGTGTATAGTTGGTGTAGTGTATAGTTGGTGTAGTGTATAGTTGGTGTAGTGTATAGTTGGTGTAGTGTATAGTTGGTGTAGTGTATAGTTGGTGTAGTGTATAGTTGGTGTAGTGTATAGTTGGTGTAGTGTATAGTTGGTGTAGTGTATAGTTGGTGTAGTGTATAGTTGGTGTAGTGTATAGTTGGTGTAGTGTATAGTTGGTGTAGTGTATAGTTGGTGTAGTGTATAGTTGGTGTAGTGTATAGTTGGTGTAGTGTATAGTTGGTGTAGTGTATAGTTGGTGTAGTGTATAGTTGGTGTAGTGTATAGTTGGTGTAGTGTATAGTTGGTGTAGTGTATAGTTGGTGTAGTGTATAGTTGGTGTAGTGTATAGTTGGTGTAGTGTATAGTTGGTGTAGTGTATAGTTGGTGTAGTGTATAGTTGGTGTAGTGTATAGTTGGTGTAGTGTATAGTTGGTGTAGTGTATAGTTGGTGTAGTGTATAGTTGGTGTAGTGTATAGTTGGTGTAGTGTATAGTTGGTGTAGTGTATAGTTGGTGTAGTGTATAGTTGGTGTAGTGTATAGTTGGTGTAGTGTATAGTTGGTGTAGTGTATAGTTGGTGTAGTGTATAGTTGGTGTAGTGTATAGTTGGTGTAGTGTATAGTTGGTGTAGTGTATAGTTGGTGTAGTGTATAGTTGGTGTAGTGTATAGTTGGTGTAGTGTATAGTTGGTGTAGTGTATAGTTGGTGTAGTGTATAGTTGGTGTAGTGTATAGTTGGTGTAGTGTATAGTTGGTGTAGTGTATAGTTGGTGTAGTGTATAGTTGGTGTAGTGTATAGTTGGTGTAGTGTATAGTTGGTGTAGTGTATAGTTGGTGTAGTGTATAGTTGGTGTAGTGTATAGTTGGTGTAGTGTATAGTTGGTGTAGTGTATAGTTGGTGTAGTGTATAGTTGGTGTAGTGTATAGTTGGTGTAGTGTATAGTTGGTGTAGTGTATAGTTGGTGTAGTGTATAGTTGGTGTAGTGTATAGTTGGTGTAGTGTATAGTTGGTGTAGTGTATAGTTGGTGTAGTGTATAGTTGGTGTAGTGTATAGTTGGTGTAGTGTATAGTTGGTGTAGTGTATAGTTGGTGTAGTGTATAGTTGGTGTAGTGTATAGTTGGTGTAGTGTATAGTTGGTGTAGTGTATAGTTGGTGTAGTGTATAGTTGGTGTAGTGTATAGTTGGTGTAGTGTATAGTTGGTGTAGTGTATAGTTGGTGTAGTGTATAGTTGGTGTAGTGTATAGTTGGTGTAGTGTATAGTTGGTGTAGTGTATAGTTGGTGTAGTGTATAGTTGGTGTAGTGTATAGTTGGTGTAGTGTATAGTTGGTGTAGTGTATAGTTGGTGTAGTGTATAGTTGGTGTAGTGTATAGTTGGTGTAGTGTATAGTTGGTGTAGTGTATAGTTGGTGTAGTGTATAGTTGGTGTAGTGTATAGTTGGTGTAGTGTATAGTTGGTGTAGTGTATAGTTGGTGTAGTGTATAGTTGGTGTAGTGTATAGTTGGTGTAGTGTATAGTTGGTGTAGTGTATAGTTGGTGTAGTGTATAGTTGGTGTAGTGTATAGTTGGTGTAGTGTATAGTTGGTGTAGTGTATAGTTGGTGTAGTGTATAGTTGGTGTAGTGTATAGTTGGTGTAGTGTATAGTTGGTGTAGTGTATAGTTGGTGTAGTGTATAGTTGGTGTAGTGTATAGTTGGTGTAGTGTATAGTTGGTGTAGTGTATAGTTGGTGTAGTGTATAGTTGGTGTAGTGTATAGTTGGTGTAGTGTATAGTTGGTGTAGTGTATAGTTGGTGTAGTGTATAGTTGGTGTAGTGTATAGTTGGTGTAGTGTATAGTTGGTGTAGTGTATAGTTGGTGTAGTGTATAGTTGGTGTAGTGTATAGTTGGTGTAGTGTATAGTTGGTGTAGTGTATAGTTGGTGTAGTGTATAGTTGGTGTAGTGTATAGTTGGTGTAGTGTATAGTTGGTGTAGTGTATAGTTGGTGTAGTGTATAGTTGGTGTAGTGTATAGTTGGTGTAGTGTATAGTTGGTGTAGTGTATAGTTGGTGTAGTGTATAGTTGGTGTAGTGTATAGTTGGTGTAGTGTATAGTTGGTGTAGTGTATAGTTGGTGTAGTGTATAGTTGGTGTAGTGTATAGTTGGTGTAGTGTATAGTTGGTGTAGTGTATAGTTGGTGTAGTGTATAGTTGGTGTAGTGTATAGTTGGTGTAGTGTATAGTTGGTGTAGTGTATAGTTGGTGTAGTGTATAGTTGGTGTAGTGTATAGTTGGTGTAGTGTATAGTTGGTGTAGTGTATAGTTGGTGTAGTGTATAGTTGGTGTAGTGTATAGTTGGTGTAGTGTATAGTTGGTGTAGTGTATAGTTGGTGTAGTGTATAGTTGGTGTAGTGTATAGTTGGTGTAGTGTATAGTTGGTGTAGTGTATAGTTGGTGTAGTGTATAGTTGGTGTAGTGTATAGTTGGTGTAGTGTATAGTTGGTGTAGTGTATAGTTGGTGTAGTGTATAGTTGGTGTAGTGTATAGTTGGTGTAGTGTATAGTTGGTGTAGTGTATAGTTGGTGTAGTGTATAGTTGGTGTAGTGTATAGTTGGTGTAGTGTATAGTTGGTGTAGTGTATAGTTGGTGTAGTGTATAGTTGGTGTAGTGTATAGTTGGTGTAGTGTATAGTTGGTGTAGTGTATAGTTGGTGTAGTGTATAGTTGGTGTAGTGTATACTTGGTGTAGTGTATACTTGGTATAGTGTATAGTTGGTGTAGTGTATAGTTGGTGTAGTGTATACTTGGTGTAGTGTATACTTGGTGCAGTGTATACTTGGTGCAGTGAAGGGTTCAAAAGGTGCAGAGTATACTTGGCAGAATGTATTTTCTTATAAGGGCCCAGGATGGAAGATGCAGTGCCCTTTAATAATCTGAGCTTTTCCTGTCCCATCTGTCTGTCCATTTTTTGGTCACCTGGCCCGACGGGCCATGTGAGCGTATGCCATACTGCAGCGTCCGTCATCCGTCTGTCGTCCGGCGTCCGGCAACTTTTTCTTTAAAACGACTTCTTCTGAAGAACTGGAGGACCTAGGGTCATGATATTTGGCCAGTAGATACCTTGGATTGAGTGCTATAAAGTTTCCTCATTAAAATGACCTTGACCTACTTTCAAGGTCACAGTGGTCATATATGTTCAAAAATTGAAACAACTATATCCTAAAAACCATTTGGACTAGAGTCATGATACTTGAGTATGTTATGTAGACCAGCAGTTCAAATATTTTTCTTAATTACAGTAATGAGGTCAAAGGTCAACTTTAAGTGCTATTCGGGGGTCAAATGTCAACATGGGTTTAATGCTTTAACAATCTTCTTCTCAAGTTCCATAAGGCCCAGGGTCATAATATTTGGCCAGTAGGTACCTGTGATAGAGTGCTATAAAGTTTCCTCATTAAAATGACCTTGACTAACTTTCAAGGTCACAGGGCTCAAATATGTTTAAAAAACGTCAAACAACAATATCCTAAGAAGCATTTTGACTAGAGTCATGATACTTGAGTATATTATGTATACCAGCAGTGCAAATCTTTTTCTTAGTCACAGTAATGAGGTTAAAGGACAACTTTTAACCCTTAGGCTGCTACGCGCCATAATAGTGGTTTCGAAAAGTCGGGCCGTCAATAGTGGCGCTCGGTCTGTAGGTTTTTGATCGGTAAACAGAAAGTGTGAAAGCGGACTGTTGCTATACCAAACCCAAAGCGTATAGTAGAAGACTTCTTATTGGTTGTTTTGTCATTACTTTCGATATTCCCAGCAATGTACCCTAGTAATAACCAAAGTGCGCGAGAAAATTTCAAATCAGAAAAAACGTCATAAAAATGGTGGACGTGTAGATTGAAGTGATTAATATGATGGTAAACATTTATTTTCCAGCGTCACCTACGATGATAATAAAGGTTTTGAAGGGTTTGGCATGGTTGATGTGGAAATACTTTGGTGTAATATAATATGTAACTTTCCAATGAACGGCTTTGTGCCCTACGCAAACATGAAAATATTGGCGGACTGTGGCGCAAATCTTTTTCTTAATTACAGTAATGAGGTTAAATGTCAGCTTTAAGTGCTAGTTGGGGGTCAAAAGTCAACATGGGTTAAAAGCTTTAACAATCTTCTTCTCAAGTTGCATAAGGCCCAGGGTCTTGATATTTGGCCAGTAGGTACCAGGGATAGGGTGCTATAAAGTTTCCTCATTAAAATGACTTTGACCTACTTTCAAGGTCACAGGAATAAAAAATGTTCAAAACTTCAAACGACGATATCCTAAGAAGCATTTGGTCTAGAGTCATGATACTTGGGTATAGCAGTGCAAATCTTTTTCTAAATTACAGTAATGAGGTCAAATGTCAACTTTAAGTGCTAGCCGGAGTCAAAGGTCAACGTGGGTTAAAAGTTTTAAAATTACAATTTCAAATTTCAAACAACAATATCTTAAGCATTTAAGAGATGTTAAAATGTCTTGTGTACTAGTTACCAAATTTGGTCTGTAGTTACCTAAATGTCAGTTTCCTGTAACAAAAGAAACAGGTGAGCGATACAGGCCCTCTGGGCCTCTTGTTTGCTTTCGGCATGATATCTTGTGAAGGGAAGATCAGATTTTAGTCAAACTTTGCTGATGTAGTACTCATATAAGTCTCTTAGGTTCAATGATTGGCAAATTCTACTCATCTTTAAAGAGAATGCTGTTTTTTGATTGGCTGATTGCTATCTGCGGGCTATTTTCTGAAGGAATCACCTAATTTTGATTAAGAAATTTCACTGAGGTTGGATGTTTGGCATATTCTGCGCATATTTAATGAGTCTGCTGCATTCTGATGGGTTGATTGTTTTCCACACAATATTTGATGATTGGATTTTGATTAAACTTGCTTCGTATACCACTTACCCAAGTCTCAAGTTGCTTCTGATTAACTGGCACATATGGCTGTTACTTTTGTTTCTTTGATATGATTTTGTTCAAGATATGTGATTTATGAACATTAATGAATTAATGAATATTATGAACATAAAGAACATGGTAAAAGAGAACTTATAAACCTGATCCCATAAAACAAGATGGCTGTCATGATTGATAGTAACTGGTATTTGTCTGATTACAAACATGCATAACTCTTTATCACCAATTCTAAATGATTGCTGTGGCTTCTGCTCAGGGAATATGGCGTATATATAGGGGTAAACATATGGTAGGGCCTTGCTGACCTGTCTGTGTTCTAGTTGTCTGGTTATTTTATTTTAACAGACCCAAACCAACTGCCTTATGGTCTACGTGTGGTGAGAATTGGGAAGATGTCCTCAGTACACAAAGATGTGGCTAAACACACTTTCAGTGAAATTGTCCATGGCCACATCCAGAACGGTACGGTATGAGATTGGTAAACTGTGGTCATTATATATATACAGAGTTGTTTGTACGGTACGGTATGGTAAACTCAATTTGTAAAGTAACACTGTCACTGTTACAGAGATTGCTCGAAAGAAGGAGAAGAATTTCCCACAAAGTTCTCAACGAGAGCTTGCCAGCCTTGCTGAGAAGATATCGGTGCTGTCTAATCAACTGGAACACATGGATCCTGCAGACACCAACAATGTGCATGTATGTGTACAGTAGTAACAGAAGGGTTTTAGAACAGTAGGGGGAGGGGAGGACAGGAGGAATGGAAGGAGACAGAACGGTAGGGGGAGGGGAGGACAGGAGGTATGGAAGGAGACAGAACAGTGGGGGAGGGGAGGACAGGAGGAATGGAAGGAGACAGAACAGTAGGGGGAGGGGAGGACAGGAGGAATGGAAGTAGACAGAACAGTAGGGGAAAGGGTGGACAGGAGGAATGGAAGGAGAGACAGAACAGGAGGGGGAGGGGAGGACAGGAGGAATGGAAGTAGACAGAACAGTAGGGGAAAGGGTGGACAGGAGGAATGGAAGGAGAGACAGAACAGTAGGGGGGAGGGGAGGACAGGAGGAATGGAAGGAACAAGAACAGTAGGGGGAGGGGAGGACAGGAGGACTGGAAGGAGACAGAACAGTAGGGGGAGGGGAGGGCAGGAGGAATGGAAGGAGACAGAACGGTAGGGGGGGGGGAGGACAGGAGGAATGGAAGGAGACAGAACAGTGGGGGAGGGGAGGACAGGAGGAATGGAAGGAACAAGAACAGTAGGGGGAGGGGAGGACAGGAGGAAGGGAAGGAGACAGAACAGTAGGGGGAGGGGAGGACAGCAGGAATGGGAGAAGCCAGAACAGTAGGGGGAGGGGAGGACAGGAGGAATGGAAGTAGACAGAACAGTAGGGGAAAGGGTGGACAGGAGGAATGGAAGGAGAGACAGAACAGTAGGGGGAGGGGAGGACAGCAGGAATGGGAGAAGACAGAACAGAAGGGGGAGGGGAGGACAGGAGGAATGGAAGTAGACAGAACAGTAGGGGAAAGGGAGGACAGGAGGAATGGAAGGAGAGACAGAACAGTAGGGGGAGGGGAGGACAGGAGGAATGGAAGGAGACAGAACAGTAGGGGGAGGACAGGAGGAATGGTAGGTGGTAGGACTAAAAAGGGTAGGGGGAAGGGAGGTCAGGAGGGAGGACAGGAGGAATGGAAGGAGGCAGAACAGTAGGGGGAGGGGAGCACAGGAGGAATGGAAGGAGACAGAACAGGAGGGGGAGGGGAGGACAGGAGGTATGGAAGGAGACAGAACAGTAGGGGAAAGGGAGGACAGGAGGAATTGAAGGAGAGACAGAACAGTAGGGGGCGGGGAGGACAGGAGGAATGGAAGTAGAAAGAGAAGTAGGGGAAAGGGAGGAAGGGAGGAATGGAAGGAGAGACAGAACAGTAGGAGGAGGGGAGGACAGGAGGAATGGAAGTAGAAAGAACAGTAGGGGAAAGGGAGGACAGGAGGAAGGGAGGGAGAGACAGAACAGTAGGGGGGAGGGGAGGACAGGAGGAAGGGTAGGAGACAGAACAGAACAGTAGGGGGAGGGGAGGACAGCAGGAATGGGAGAAGACAGAACAGTAGGGGGAGGGGAGGTCAGGAGAAATTGGTAGGGGGAAGGGAGGTCAGGAAAAATGGTAGGTGGTGTAAGACGCAGAAGGGTAGGGGGGGGGGAGGACAGGAGGACTGGGAGGAGCCAGAACAGTAGGGGGAAGGGAGATCAGGAGAAATGGAAAGTGGTGTAGGACTACAAAGGGTAGGGGGAACGGAGGTCAGTAGAAATGGTAAGTGGTGTAGGACTTGTAGGTGGTGTAGGAGCAAAAAGGGGAGGGGGAAGGGAGGTCATGAGAAATGGTGGGTGGTGTAGGACGTAAAAGGGTGGGGGAAGGGAGGTCATGAGAAATGGTAGGTGGTGTAAGACACAGAAGGGTAGAGGGTAGGGGGACCAGAGGTCAGGAGAAACGGTAGGTGGTGTAGGACCAAGAAGGGTAGGGGGAAGGGGGGTCAGGAGAAATGGTAAGTAAGGGAGGTCAGGAGAAGAAATGGTAGCTGGTGTGGGACACAGAAGGGTAGGGGAGGGGAGGTCAGACGCAATGGTAAGTGGTGTAGGACTTGTAGGTGGTGTAGGACGTAAAAGGGTGGGGGAAGGGAGGTCAGGGAAGGGAGGTCAGGGGAAATGGTAGGTGGTGTAGGGCCCAGAAGGGTAGGGGGGAAGGGAGGTCGGGAGAAATGGTAGGTTGTGTAGGACTAAAAAGAGAACAGTAGGGGGATGGGAGGACAGGAGGACTGGGAGGAGCCAGAACAGTAGGGGGAGGGGAGGATAGGAAGAATGGAAGTAGACAGAAAAGGAGGGGGAAGGGGGGGCAGGAGAAATGGTAGGTGTTGTAGCACTAAAAAGGGTAGGGGGAACGGAGGTCAGTAGAAATGGTAGGTGGTGTAAGACACAGAAGGGTAGAGGGTAGGGGGACCAGAGGTCAGGAGAAACGGTAGGTGGTGTAGGGAGGTCAGGAAAAATGGTAGGTGGTGTAGGGCACAGAAGGGTAGGTGGTGTAGGGAGGTCAGGAAAAATGGAAAGTGTTGTTTGACTAAAATGGGTAGGGGGGAAGGGAGGTCATGAGAAATGGTAGCTGGTGTAGGGCACAGAAGGGTAGGTGGTGTAGGACTATAAAGGGTAGGGGGAGGGGAGGTCAGACGAAATGGTAAGTGGTGTAGGGCTTAAAAGGGTAGGGAGAAGGGAGGTCAGGAGAAATGGTAAGTGGTGTAGGACTAAAAAGGGTAGGGGGAGGGGAGGGCAGGAGAAATGGTAGCTGGTGTAGGACACAGAAGGGTAGGGGGAGGGGAGGGCAGACGAAATGGTAAGTGGTGTAGGACTTAAAAGGGAAGGGAGAAGGGAGCTCAGGAGAAATGGTAAATAGTGTATGACTAAAAAGGGTATGGGGAGCGGATGTCAGGAGAAATGGTAGGTGGTGTAAGACACAGACGGGTAGGGGGAGGGGAGGTCAGACGAAATGGTAAGTGGTGTAGGACTTAAAAGGGTAGGGAGAAGGGAGCTCAGGAGAAATGGTAAATAGTGTAGGACTAAAAAGGGTATGGGGAGCGGATGTCAGGAGAAATGGTAGGTGGTGTAGGACTAAAAAGGGTAGGGGGAGCGGAGGTCAGGAGAAATGGTAGGTGGTGTAGGACTAAAAAGGGTATGGGGAGCGGATGTCAGGAGAAATGGTAGGTGGTGTATGACTAAAAAGGGTAGGGGGAGCGGAGGTCAGGAGAAATGGTAGGTGGTGTAGGACACAGAAGGGTAGGGGGAGGGGAGGTCAGGAGACTAAAAAGGGTATGGGGAGCGGATGTCAGGAGAAATGGTAGGTGGTGTATGACTAAAAAGGGTAGGGGGAGCGGAGGTCAGGAGAAATGGTAGGTGGTGTAGGACACAGAAGGGTAGGGGGAAGGGAGGACAGGAGAAATGGTAGGGGTTGTAGCACTAAAAAGGGTAGGGGGAAGGGAGGTCAGGAGAAATGGTAGGAGGTGTAGGACACAGAAGGTTAGAGGGAAGGGAGGTCAGGAGAAATGGTAGGTGTTGTAGGACTAAAAAGGGGAGGGGGAAGGGAGGTCAGGAGAAATGGTAGGGGGTGTAGGACACAGAAGGGTAGCGGGTAGGGGGGAGGGAGGTCAGGAGAAATGGTAGAAGGTGTAGGACTAAAAAGGGTAGGGGGAGGGAGGTCAGGAGAAATTGTAGGTGTTGTAGGACTAAAAAGGGAAGGGGGAAGGGAGGTCAGGAGAAATGGAAGGTGGTGTAGGACTATAAAGGGTAGGGGGAGGGGAGGTCAGGAGAAATTGTAGGTGGGGTAGGACACAGAATGGTAGCGGGTAGGGGGGAGGGAGGTCAGGAGAAATGGTAGCTGGTGTAGGACTAAAAAGGGTAGGGCGAAGGGAGGTCAGGAGAAATGGAAAGTGTTGTAGGACTAAAAAGGATAGGGGGAAGGGAGCTCAGGAGAAATGGTAAGTGGTGTAGGACTTAAATGGGTACGGGGAATGGAGGTCAGGAGAAATTGTAGGTGGTGTAGGACACAGAAGGGTAGGGGGAAGGGAGGTCAGGAGAAATGGTAGGTGGTGTAGGACACAGAAGGGTAGAGGGAAGGGAGGTCAGGAGAAATGGTAGGTGTTGTAGCACTAAAAATGGTAGGGGGAAGGGAGGTCAGGAGAAATGGTAAGTGGTGTAGGACTAAAAAGGGTAGGGGGAAGGGAGGTCAGGAGAATTGGTAGGTGGTGTAGGACACAGAAGGGTGGGGGAAGGGAGGTCAGGAGAAATGATAGGTGGTGTAGGACACAGAAGGGTAGCGGGTAGGGGGAAGAGAGGTCAGGAGAAATGGTAGGTGGTGTAGGGCACAGAAGGGTAGGGGGAAGGGAGGTCAGGAGAAATGGTAGGTGGTGTAGGTCACAGAAGGGTAGGGGGGAAGGGAGGTCATGAAAAATGGTAGGTGGTGTAGGACGTAAAAGGGTAGGGGGAAGGGAGGTCATGAGAAATGGTAGCTGGTGTACATCACAGAAGGGTGGCGGGTAGGGGGAAGGGAGGTCAGGAGAAATGGTAGGTGGTGTAGGGCCCAGAAGGGTAGGGGGGAAGGGAGGCCATGAGAAATGGTAGGTGGTGTAGGACACAAAAGGGTAGGGGGAGGGGAGGTCAGGAGAAATGGTAGCTGGTGTAGGACACAGAAGGGCAGCGGGTAGGGGGAAGGGAGATCAGGAGAAATTGTAGGTGGTGTAGGATACAGAAGGGTAGGGGGAGGTCAGACGAAATGGTAAGTGGTGTAGGACTTAAAAGGGTAGGGGGAGCGGATGTCAGGAGAAATGGTAGGTGGTGTAGGAGCAAAAAGGGTAGGGGGAGGGGAGGTCAGGAGAAATGATAAGTGGTGTAGGACTTAAAAGGGTAGGGGGAGCGGAGGTCAGGAGAAATGGTAGGTGGGGTAGGACACAGAAGGGTAGGGGGAGGGGGGGTCAGGAGAAATGGTAAGTGGTGTAGGACTAAAAAGGGGAGGGGGAGCGGAGGTCAGGAGAAATGGTATCTGGTGTAGGACACAGAAGGGTAGCGAGTAGGGGGAAGGGAGGTCAGGAGAAATGGGAAGTGGTGTAGGACTAAAAAGGGTAGGGGGAGCGGAGGGCAGGAGAAATGGTAGCTGGTGTAGGACTCAGAAGGGTAGCGGGTAGGGGGAAGGGAGGGCAGGAGAAATGGTAGGTGGTGTAGGACACAGAAGGGTAGCGGGTAGGGGGAAGGGAGGTCAGGAGAAATTGGTAAATAGCGTAGGACTAAAAAGGGTATGGGGAGCGGATGTCAGGAGAAATGGTAGGTGGTGTAGGACACAAAAGGGTAGGGGGAGGGGAGGTCAGGAGAAATTGTAAGTGGTGTAGGACTTAAAAGGGTAGGGGAAGGGAGGTCAGGGAAGGGAGGTCAGGAGAAATGGTAGGTGATGTAGGACTAAAAAGGGTAGGGGGAGCGGAGGGCAGGAGAAATGGTAGCTGGTGTAGGACACAGAAGGGTAGTGGGTAGGGGGAAGGGAGGTCAGGAGAAATGGTAAGTGTTGTAGGACTAAAAAGGGTAGGGGGAGCGGAGGTCAGGCGAAATGGTAGCTGGTGTAGGACTCAGAAGGGTAGCGGGGAGGGGGAAGGGAGGTCAGGAGAAATGGTAAGTGTTGTAGGACTAAAAAGGGTAGGGGGAAGGGATGTCAGGAGAAATGGTAGGTGGTGTAGGAGCAAAAAGGGTAGGGGGAGTGGAGGTTAGGAGAAATGGTAGCTGGTGTAGGACACAGAAGGGTAGTGGGTAGGGGGAAGGGAGGTCAGGAGAAATAGTAGGTGGTGTAGGGAGGTCAGGAGAAATGGTAGGTGTTGTAGGACTAAAAAGGGTAGGGGGAGCGGAGGGCAGGAGAAATGGTAGCTGGTGTAGGACACAGAAGGGTAGCGAAGGGTAGGGGGAAGGGAGGTCAGGAGAAATTGGTAAATAGCGTAGGACTAAAAAGGGTATGGGGAGCGGATGTCAGGAGAAATGGTAGGTGGGGTAGGAGCAAAAAGGGTAGGGGGAGTGGAGGTCAGGAGAAATGGTAGCTGGTGTAGGACACAGAAGGGCAGCGGGTAGGGAGAAGGGAGGTCAGGAGAAATGGTAGGTGGTGTAAGACACAGAAGGGTAGGGGGAGGGGAGGTCAGGAGAAATGGTAAGTGGTGTAGGACTTAAAAGGGTAGGGGAAGGGAGGTCAGGAGAAATGGGGTAGGGAGAGGGGAGGACAGGAGGAATTGTAGGAGACAGGGATAGGGAGAGGGGAGGACAGGAGGAATGGTAGGAGACAGAGGGATAGGGAGAGGGGAGGTCGAGGACAGGAGAAATGATAGAAGGAATGATAGGAGACAGAGGGGCAGGGTTAATCCTAACTGCTATCGACCTATGCATGCCACATAAAACAGTAACTATAAGACCTAATGATAAAATTTGGATGATTAATGGTATCAAGACTCAAAATTAGACAAAGAAATTGCCAGCATTCCATAGCTAAGCTACATAATACTCCAGCTTTTTGGGCAAAATTTAGATCTATTCGGAATGAAGTTATATCCTTAGTCCTGGAAGCTAAAGAAAAATATTTATCTAAACTTCAATCTTCTTAATTGATAAAACCATACCCCCCGGAAATTGGTGGCGTATTGCAAAATCGGTTATCAATCTCAAAAACAAAAACGAAAATGACTCTCCATTGATTATCAACCGCGAACTGAAAATCCACCCCATAGATAAAGAGGAATCTTTTAACGATTATTTCACTTCGATTTCTGTAACTGAAAAGAATGCTGACGATTTACCTCCTGACTGCCCCTGACCCCGACATAACTTTTCAACAATAGACATAACCGAACAGGACATTTTTGATCAGCTCGATCTACTCAATACTAATAAACCTTCAGGCCCTGACAGCATCCCTCCAAAATTCATAAAAGGGGTTTCCCAATCTCTTGTGAAACCACTCTATCTCCTATTCAACAAATCTATTTCTACCGGCAAGCTACCAAATAGACGGAAAAATGCTCATGTTACCCCAGTTTATAAGGGCAAGGGAGATAAAAGTGATCCAACCAACTATAGACCAATAACAGAGAGTGGTCATAGATGGGTATAAGTCTAATTGGAAAACATTACAGGCAGGGGTACCTCAAGGTTCAGTCCTTGGTCCTTTTTTGTTTTTACTATATATTAATGATATTGGTGATGAATTGGCCTCAAACTTCAAACTATTTACTGATGATACCTCCTTATATGGTCTCATTGAGGGAGACAGGCAAGAATGTGCTAATATGTTAAATGATGATCTAAGAAAAAATTCAATCTGGGCTAGAAAATGGGGAATTATCTTTAATCCAGATAAAACTGTAGCCCTGCTCTTCTCGAGGCGGGTTGATTCTGAGACACTGCATCCTAACCTATATTTTGATGAATTATCAATTATTAATGTTTCTAATCATAAACACCTAGGTTTGTTTTTCAACAGCAAGGCTAATTGGTCTATCACATAAACTATATATACGAAAAAGCTTATAAAAGAATTAATATACTTAGAATGTTGAAATACAAAATTGATAGAAAGTCACTCGAAACTATACATATCACATTTATACGTCCAATTCTGGAATATGCAAATATTATATGGGCAAACTGCACGCAGAATGAATGCAGTGTCTTGGAGTCTATCCAACTAGAAGCAGCACATATTATTTCAGGGTTAAGACGTGGAACAAGTCATGCTATCTTATATAGAGAATCTGGTTTTATAACACTTAATAGAAGAAGACATTTGCATCAAAATATTACTTTTTATAAAATATATAATAGGAAATGTCCCTCTCATGTCTATGATATAATTCAACCGTACATTAATGATAATACTGACAATTATCATCTTCGCCACAATAGAATTTTTGATGTTCCTATACCAAGAACTCAGTTATATAATGCCAGTTTTTTCCCGAAACTGATGTCTGAATGGAATAATCAAACTTGCCTGTATCCCACAATGACATCCATTGGATCTATAAAGAGATTTTTTACACTCGGATGAAATGAATTCTCAACCCAAATGTTTTATAAATACAGTGGTGATCGAAAATTTAATATTACCTTTTGTCAACTTAGAAACTGTGCCAGTAACCTAAATTCAGATCTATTTGAATCTCACCTAATTGATACCCCTGCCTGCTTATGTAGTTCTCCTGTTGAGGACTGTGATCACTTCTCTTCCATTGTACTCTGTATACTAATCAAAGGCAAATTCTCCTGAATTCCATTTCTGCTCTTAATGACATTATTCCATTAAATACTCAGACTTTTCTTTATGGATGTCGAAGACTCGATACCAATATGAATATAAGTATCTTGGAGATGGTTCAGAGATTCGTTAAAGATACAAGACGCTTTTACTAGATTCCACTTACTTTATCTTTTTTCACATGCCTTTGCTTTATGGAATGATACCAGTACATAATTGTACTATGTGCTGTCCACCAGCATAACTTTAATTACCATTTTTTGTAAAATCTAGTTTTTGTACAACCATTATCAAAAAAATTAATAATGACATGCAAATATCAAAATTCATGTACATTATATACATGTTTTATCATCACTTCAATTCAATATGATGTGTGTAAACTGTTTATAACTGTAAGGAGAGGGCGCTCATAGGCTTTGCCTGTTGCCCAATTCCTTTGTATCTAAGATCTGAACAATAAATATTCTGAAATGAAAACAGAGGGGTAGGGAGAGGGGAGAACAGAGGAATGGTAGGAGGAAGGGGTTTGGGAATAAATTGAGGGAAATGTATAAGGAATTCTTAACGTAATTAAGGGACCTGATACGTGTTGGAGGTAAGTGAGGTGCTAAATGAAATGATGGACATTATACCGAGGTTTTACTGTACATAGGTTTCTATTGATATTTGCTATTTTACAACATAAATCACCAATAGGCGAGCTACGCTTTATCCTCCTACAGCTCTGGTTTATAGATAAAAACAAACTTAGATTAGCAACTGTTTACACTAAAATCTTGTCGTATTTTCTACAGAGGAAGCGGCTGCAGGCAGACCTACAGAAGTTGGAGCAGAAAAAGGCCGACCTAAAATACCAGTATAGAAATGTAGGTGACATCAGACTTGCTACTAATAATCATAAATGATATTGTGTTTTTAGCTTTAAATTTTGACAGTTAGCGACATTACATTCTTCTTAAATCTTTCCTGAAAATGGAATCAGCTAGATGAAAACAGCATGTCAAAAAGACACCCATGCCTAATTTTTCATACTGCTAATCATATTCAAATAATGTATTGGAAAAAGGAACTATATTACACATATTATCAGTATTGTTGTATATTAGTGGCTGATATACCACAAAATAGAAAGGGATGTTTTATGACAAGCGTTGTTGTGTTTACAGATAAATAAAAGTACATCTTTGACTCCTGCGGAGGAGTATGAGATAAAAAAGAATGTGCTATGGCGGGCTCACGTTATATGTGGTACGCTGAACAGCTTTGGCAGTGGCAGCGTACAAAACCTTCTACGCAGTCGTCACCCTGGTGACCAGTCCTCCTTCTTCTTTAACTGCATCATAATGGACGAGGTAAGGTCACTTGATTGGTAATGGAAGGCAGAGAGAAATAACACATGCCTTCATAGCATCACTGTCTTCTTCCTAATGGCTATATTTTATCATAGCTAGTCAAAATGTCTGAATACTTTCATATCTAGACAAAATACCAGTATATTATCTTAGCCAGATGAAATATAAAACTTTTAATATAAAACAGTTTCAACATTTTTAGGTCACCTGAGCTTTGCTCAAGTGACCTATTCCAATCACTTTCCGTCCGTCGTCGTCCGTCGTGCGTAAACTTTTTACATTATCAACTTTTCCTCAAGAACCAGTGGATGGAATTTTTTCAAACTTGGTGAGAATTATCCTTGAAGGAAGATGGTTTTAAATTGTAAAATTGGGATTCCTACCCCAACCCTAGGGGCCAGGGCGGGGCCCCAAAGGGAAAATTAACCAATATTTCAAAAATTTTCTTCTCCAGACTCAGAGGTATTACAGTCATTTTCTCTGCATGGATGGAAAGATCATCAGGGGCTTTATTTAAATTGTATATTTCAGGACCCCCAAGCTATCCGTTCTCCCTTGGGGAGGGGGTAAAGTTTACTATAGTTTATATAGGGAAACAACACTTTTGGGTATATTTTGACAATTTTCTGTTGGAAATTATTTTTACTTGGTGAGAATTATCCTTGGAGGAGGAAGATGGTTTTAAATTGTAAAATTGGGATTCCTACCCCAACCCTAGGGGCCAGGGCGGGGCCCAAAAGGGAAAATTAGCCAATATTTCAATAAATCTCCTTCTCCAGACTCAGAGGTATAACAGTCATTTTCTCTGCATGGATGGAAAGATCATCAGGGGCTTTATTAAGGCCCCGTATCTCCGATACGGGTGCCCTATAGTAATCACTCTGTCTGTCTGTCTGTCCGTCCACAAATTTTGTTCCTGGTTGATAACTTTGGTATCTATGGACCGATGTACATGAAACTTGGTCAAGATGTTCAGTTCACAAAAATACATATTGAGGTAAAAAGTCAAGGTCAAAGGTCAAGGTCATTATGTTCAAAGGTCAAGGTCAAATTTTACACCTTTTCACTGATGAACATTTTGTTATGACATTATGAAGCAAAGTTGATCAGAATTAAACAAGGAGTCAACTGACCTAAGGTCAAGGTCATCGGGTCAGGGGTCAAGGTCAAATTTTGTAGCTTTTCACTGGTGAACATTTCGCTATGACATTAGGAAGCAAAGTTGTTCGGAATTAAACAAAGAGACACACTGAGGTAAAAAAAAGTCAAGGTCAAAGGTCAAGGTCAAATTTTGCATCTTTTCACTGATGAACATTTTGTTATGACATGATTAAGCAATGTTGGTCTGAATTCAAGAATAAGTCAACTGACCAAAGATCAGGGTCACTGGGTCAAAGGTCAAGGTCATTTGGGTCCAAAGGTCAAAGACAAAGTTGATCTCTGACTTTGACCCTGGCTCTTGATGGAGGAGGTTTATAAGGTGAAATAAAACAAATCAAAGCTAACAAATGAGTGTTGCACTGGTATTTACATTTCTGTTAGCCCAGCAAATATGGAGGTGGAAGGAAACTAGACTCACATCATAGTACACGTATAATGTATATTTTGCTTCCTTGCAATTCTTTTTGAAGTCCAAATGTCAAACTTCAAGCTCAGCTATATGGGCAGATCGCTTCTTGATGATTATGAGGGATATATTGCCACAAGACGGGGCCCTTACTGACCTGTCAGTGTTCTAGTTTAAATTGTAAATTTCAGGACCCCCAAGCTATCCGTTCTCCCTTGGGGAGGGGGTAAGGTTTACTATAGTTTATATAGGGAAACAACACTTTTGGGTATATTTTGACAATTTTCTGTTGGAAATTATTCTTACTTGTTGAGAATTATCCTTGAAAGAAGATGGTTTTAAATTGTAAAATTGGAATTCCTACCCCAACCCTAGGGGCCAGGGCGGGGCCCCAAAGGGAAAATTAACCAATATTTCAATAAATCTCTTCTCCAGACTCAGAGGTATTACAGTCATTTTCTCTGCATGGATGGAAAGATCATCAGGGGCTTTATTTAAATTGTAAATTTCAGGACCCCCGAGCTATCCGTTCTCCCTTGGGGAGGGGGTAAAGTTTACTATAGTTTATATAGGGAAACAACACTTTTGGGTATATTTTGACAATTTTCTGTTGGAAATTATTTTTACTTGGTCAGAATCATCTTTGGTGGATGACGGTATCACATTGTAAACTTGGAATTCCTACCCCATCCCCAGGGGTTAGAGCGGGGCCCCAAAGGGAACATTTACAAATGTTTTAAAATTCTTATCCTTTGATGACATGACAAGTATTGTATTTCACTTAGTTTACATGCTGATTTCCACATCACATCTAAACAATAAAATAAAGCTACCAGTACCTACAATGTATGATATAACTCAGGTGACCGCTAAGGACCTTGGGCCTCTTGTTGATGCCAGTTTTATCAGCCTAATTACTTTTGCTAGCCAAGATGAAAACCTTGCCAGAGATATTAGTTTGTAAGGTAACAAGAGGATCTTTAAAGAAAACCAATCCTGTATGGCAGAAGACATGATACATTTTCACATTCAGTAATCAAACTCAGACCGTTTTGGTAACATGGTACACTGTATAATACATAGGAAGGGTAACATGGTACACTGTATAACACATAGGAAGGGTAACATGGTACACTCTTTAAACATGATACATTTTCACATTCAGTAATCAAACTCAGACCGTTTTGGTAACATGGTACACTGTATAACACACAGGTAGGGTAACATGGTACACTATATAACACACAGGAAGGGTAACATGGTTCACTGTATTACACACAGAGAGGGTAACATGGTACACTGTATAACACACAGGAAGGGTAACATGGTACACTGTATAACACGCATGAAGAGTAACATGGTACACTGTATAACACACAGGGAGGGTAACATGGTACACTATATAACACGCAGGAAGGGAAAAATGGTACACTGTATAAAACGCAGGCAGGGTAACATGGTACACTGTATAACACATAGGAATGGTAACATGGTACACTATATAACACACACGAAGGGTAACATGGTACACTGTATAACACATAGGAAGGGAAACATGGTACACTATATAACACGCAGGAAGGGGAACATGGTACACTGTATAACACACAGAAAGGGTAACATGGTACACTGTATAACACATAGGAAGGGAAACATGGTACACTATATAACACGCAGGAAGGGAAAAATGGTACACTGTATAAAACGCAGGCAGGGTAACATGGTACACTGTATAACACGCAGGAAGGGCACCATGGTACACTGTATAACACGCATGAAGAGTAACATGGTACACTGCATAACACGCAGGAAGGGTAACATGGTACACTGAATAACACGCAGGAAGAGTAACATGGTACACTGTATAACACGCAGGAAGGGTAACATGGTACACTGTATAACACGCATGAAGAGTAACATGGTACACTGTATAACACGCAGGAAGGGTAACATGGTACACTGTATAACACACAGAAAGGGTAACATGTTACACTGTATAACACACAGGAAGGGTAACTTTGTACACTGTATAACACACAGGAGGGGTAATATGGTACACTGTAAAACACACAGGTAGGGTAACATGGTACACTGTATAACACACAGGTAGGGTAACATGGTACACTGTATAACACACAGGAAGGGTAATATGTTACCCCTCCTGTGTGTTATACAGTGTAACATGTTACCCTTCCTGTATAACACACAGGAGGGGTAACATGGTACACTATATAACACGCAGGAAGGGTAACATGATACACTGCATAACACATTGGAAGGGTAACATGGTACACTGTATAACACATAGGAAGGGTAACATGATACACTGTATAACACATTGGAAGGGTAACATGGTACACTGTATAACACACAGGAAGGGTAACATGGTACACTGTATAACACACAGGAAGGGTAGCATGGTACTCTGTATACCACACAGGAAGGGTAACATGGTACACTGTATAACACACAGAGAGGGTAACATGGTTCACTGTATAACACACAGAAAAGGTAACATTGTACTCTGTATAACACACAGAAAGGGTAACATGGTACACTGTATAACACACAGGAAGGGTAATATGGTACACTGTATAACACACAGGAAGGGTTACATGGTACACTGTATAACACACAGTAAGGGTAACATTGTACACTGTATAACACACAGGAAGGGTAACATTGCTGTATAACACATAGGAAGGGTAACATTGTACACTGTATAACAAACAGGAAGGGTAACAGGGTACACTGTATAACAAACAGTAAGGGTAACATTGTAAACTGTATAACACACAGAGAGGGTAACACGGTACACTGTAAAACACACAGCAAGGGTAACATGGTACAATGTATAACACACAGGCAGGGTAACATGGTACAATGTATAACACACAGGCAGGGTAACATGGTACGCTGTAAAACACACAGCAAGGGTAACATGGTAAACGGAATAACACACAGGAAGGGCAACATGGTACACTCTTTAACACAAAGGTAGGGTAACATGGTACCCTGTATAACACACAGGAAGGATAACATTGTATAACACACAGGAAGGGTAACATGGTACACTCTTTAACACAAAGGTAGGGTAACATGGTACACTATATAACACACAGGAAGAGTAACATCGTACTCTGTATAACACACAGGAAGGGTAACATGGTACACTGTATAACACACAGGAAGGGTAACATGGTACACTGTATAACACACAGGAAGGGTAACATGGTACACTGTATAACACACAGGAAGGGTAACATGGTACACTGTATAACACACAGGAAGGGTAACATGGTACACTGTATAACACACAGGAAGGGTAACATGGTACACTGTATAACACACAGGAAGGGTAACATGGTACACTGTATAACACACAGGAAGGGTAACATGGTACACTGTATAACACACAGGAAGGGTAACATGGTACACTGTATAACACACAGGAAGGGTAACATGGTACACTGTATAACACACAGGAAGGGTAACATGGTACACTGTATAACACACAGGAAGGGTAACATGGTACACTGTATAACACACAGGAAGGGTAACATGGTACACTGTATAACACACAGGAAGGGTAACATGGTACACTGTATAACACACAGGAAGGGTAACATGGTACACTGTATAACACACAGGAAGGGTAACATGGTACACTGTATAACACACAGGAAGGGTAACATGGTACACTGTATAACACACAGGAAGGGTAACATGGTACACTGTATAACACACAGGAAGGGTAACATGGTACACTGTATAACACACAGGAAGGGTAACATGGTACACTGTATAACACACAGGAAGGGTAACATGGTACACTGTATAACACACAGGAAGGGTAACATGGTACACTGTATAACACACAGGAAGGGTAACATGGTACACTGTATAACACACAGGAAGGGTAACATGGTACACTGTATAACACACAGGAAGGGTAACATGGTACACTGTATAACACACAGGAAGGGTAACATGGTACACTGTATAACACACAGGAAGGGTAACATGGTACACTGTATAACACACAGGAAGGGTAACATGGTACACTGTATAACACACAGGAAGGGTAACATGGTACACTGTATAACACACAGGAAGGGTAACATGGTACACTGTATAACACACAGGAAGGGTAACATGGTACACTGTATAACACACAGGAAGGGTAACATGGTACACTGTATAACACACAGGAAGGGTAACATGGTACACTGTATAACACACAGGAAGGGTAACATGGTACACTGTATAACACACAGGAAGGGTAACATGGTACACTGTATAACACACAGGAAGGGTAACATGGTACACTGTATAACACACAGGAAGGGTAACATGGTACACTGTATAACACACAGGAAGGGTAACATGGTACACTGTATAACACACAGGAAGGGTAACATGGTACACTGTATAACACACAGGAAGGGTAACATGGTACACTGTATAACACACAGGAAGGGTAACATGGTACACTGTATAACACACAGGAAGGGTAACATGGTACACTGTATAACACACAGGAAGGGTAACATGGTACACTGTATAACACACAGGAAGGGTAACATGGTACACTGTATAACACACAGGAAGGGTAACATGGTACACTGTATAACACACAGGAAGGGTAACATGGTACACTGTATAACACACAGGAAGGGTAACATGGTACACTGTATAACACACAGGAAGGGTAACATGGTACACTGTATAACACACAGGAAGGGTAACATGGTACACTGTATAACACACAGGAAGGGTAACATGGTACACTGTATAACACACAGGAAGGGTAACATGGTACACTGTATAACACACAGGAAGGGTAACATGGTACACTGTATAACACACAGGAAGGGTAACATGGTACACTGTATAACACACAGGAAGGGTAACATGGTACACTGTATAACACACAGGAAGGGTAACATGGTACACTGTATAACACACAGGAAGGGTAACATGGTACACTGTATAACACACAGGAAGGGTAACATGGTACACTGTATAACACATAGGAAGGGTAACATGGTACACTGGATAACACATTGGAAGGGTAACATGGTACACTGTATAACACACAGGAAAGGTAACATGGTACACTATATAACACACAGGAAGGGTAACATGGTACACTGTATAACACTCATAAAGGATAACATGGTACAATGTTTAACACACAGGAAGGGTAATATGGTACACTGTATAACACATAGGAAGGGTAACATGGTACAGTGGATAACACATTGGAAGGGTAACATGGTACACGGTATAATACACAGGAAGGGTAACATGATACACTGTATAACACATAGGAAGGGTAACATGGTACGCTGTATAACACACAGGAGGGGTAACATGGTACACTGTATAACACACAGGTAGTGACAGGTATTTCTTTTACAGTGGCATTTGATAGTTTACAAGTTAAGAAATATTTGTTTGGTGAACTGACAACTTTGTTTTTATTGCAGGCGTCACAGGCGACAGAGTTGGACTGTCTCATTCCACTTCAGTATGGGACCAGTAAGCTTATCATGGTGGGGGACCCAGAGCAACTGTCCCCAACCGTCCTCTCCAGGGTATGTTTAACAGTAACAACTCTCTCCCCACCGTCCTCTCCAGGGTATGTATGACAGTAACAACTGTCCCTGACCGTCCTCTCCAGGGTATGTATAACAGTAACAAGTGTCCCCAACTGTCCTCTCCAGGGTGGGTATTACAGTTACAAGTGTCCCCAACTGTCCTCTCCAGGGTATGTATTTTCATTTCATCAAATTTTATTGACAAGATGTCGTAATCAATTGGATTGAATAACAGGCAAAGCCTATATAAATTCTCTCCGTCAAATGGCCAAAGTTGAATAAACAAGGAGACATAATATTTTAGACATGTTGCAAATGAAAAAATTAACACAAAATAATTCATATTAACACAAGGCTAAGGGGAAGTAACTCATGAAGGAAACATCTCACACACCTCATACACACTTACACACACATACAAGTACATGTACAAATACATTTATTTCAGCATATATATACACTATCATAGACAGATATTGGCAGGCTTAGACCAAAAGTCCATTTGCATATATTGCACAGGTCACTGCTACCAACAACTGTTACAATTAAAAATAATAAATTCATTTAATACAAATAGAGTGAAATTATTTACAATGTCATGATAAGTACACATAATAGACAGTAGTCATGCTCAACTAGGGTATGTATAACAGTAACAACTGTCCCCGACTATCCTCTCCAGGGTGGGTATTACAGTAACAACTGTCCCCGACTGTCCTCTCAAAGGTGGGTATAACAGTAACAACTGTCCCCGACTGTCCTCTCCAGGGTGGGTATTACAGTAACATCTGTCCCCAACTGTCCTTTCCAGGGTGGGTATTACAGTAACAGGGTTACAAGAATGTTTAGCTGGGTGCCTCCGGCATGTTATTTCAGTGACATAGCACTATAAAGTCGGCATCATATCTGTGCTATCACAAGGAGGCAAGCACACCAACATACCCTGTCTCCTGCATACACACACGCAAGCATGCATACACTACACACAAAGAACACGTCCTTAAATGACCTTAGCTGTTAATAGGACATTAAACATAATTAAACCAAACCAAATCAAACTAAACCAAACCTTTTTCTTCACCTGTCGAAAGAGGGGACATATTATGTTATCTTGTGAGCAGCCGGGCAAGTGGGTGGGTGGACATGCAATGTTTGGAGTAATTTTCAACGGATTAACTTCAAACTTCATAGGAAGGTTAATAAATATGAGAGCTCAGAGAAGATTGATAACAACCCTTGTCCGACTATAATTTACTGAGTTATGCCCCTTTAATCAATAGCTTAAACAGTGTGCACACAATGTCTCGTGTAATTTTTAAATGAATTAATTTCAACCATCGTACATTCAACGTGTGACGGTGTTTTATGTTCTGCTTCACTGTAACGTTGTGTATGTTTTGTTTTTGTTTTTAGCCTATGTGAATTAAAATGGGGATAAACCTTCTGTATTTGGAGATTTGTGTTAGTATATTGTGATCATACTATTGCAAGTATCTGTATTTACTTTGTATAATTGTGATATAAAATAATACCACATAATCTTAAAACACGGAAGGGTTATCCACTTATTGGTTTATTTCAACAGAAAGCAGAACAGAAATGTTTTGGCCAGTCTATGTTTGAGCGTATGTATGGCTACTATAAATACAAGGAACATAACCCGGTCATACTACTGGACACACAGTATCGTATGAACCCCGAGATTGCAGCCTTCCCCAGCCAGTATGTGTATGAAGGCAGGCTTCTCTCGGACAGGTGAGGCATTTCTAAACATTCACTTCAAGTTGGTAAGTATGGATTGTAAAGAGGTTCCTATAACACAACCAGTGAGGTGTTGATGTGTGAAAAGTTGGTAAGTATGGATTGTAAAGAGGTTCCCATAACACAACCAGTGAGGCGTTGATGTGTGACAAGTTGGTAAGTATGGATTGTAAAGAGGTTACTATAACACAACCAGTGAAGTGTTGATGTGTGACAAGTTGGTAAATATGGATTGCAAAGAGGTTCCCATAACACAACCAGTGAGGTGTTGATGCGTGACAAGTTGGTAAGTATGGTTTGTAATGAGGTTCCTATAACACAACCAGTGAGGTGTTGATGTGTGACAAATTGGTAAGTATGGATTTTAAAGAGGATCCTATAACACAACCAGTGAAGTGTTGATGTGTGACAAGTTGGTAAATATGGATTGTAAAGAGGTTCCCATAACACAACCAGTGAGGTGTTGATGTGTGACAAGTTGGTAAGTATGGTTTGTAAAGAGGTTCCTATAACACAACCAGTTAAGTGTTGATGTGTGACAAGTTGGTAAGTATGGATTGGTAAGAGGTTCCTATAACACAACCAGTGAAGTGTTTATTTGTGACAAGTTGGTAAGTATGGATTGTAAAGAGGTTCCCATAACACAACCAGTGAGGTGTTGATGTGAGACAAGTTGGTAAGTATGGTTTGTAAAGAGGTTCATATAACACAACCAGTGAAGTGTTTATGTGTGACAAGTTGGTAAGTATGGTTTGTAAAGAGGTTCATATAACACAACCAGTGAGGTGTTGATGTGTGACAAGTTGGTAAGTATGGATTGTAAAGAGGTTCCTATAACACAACCAGTGAAGTGTTGATGTGTGACAAGTTGGTAAGTATGGATTGTAAAGAGGTTCCTATAACACAACCAGTGAAGTGTTTATGTGTGACAAGTTGGTAAGTATGGATTGTAAAGAGGTTCCTATAACACAACCAGTGAAGTGTTGATGTGTGACAAGTTGGTAAGTATGGATTGTAAAGAGGTTCCTATAACACAACCAGTGAGGTGTTGATGTGTGACAAGTTGGTAAGTATGGATTGTAAAGAGGTTCCTATAACACAACCAGTGAAGTGTTGATGTGTGACAAGTTGGTAAGTATGGATTGTAAAGAGGTTCCTATAACACAACCAGTGAGGTGTTGATGTGTGACAAGTTGGTAAGTATGGATTGTAAAGAGGTTCCTATAACACAACCAGTGAAGTGTTGATGTGTGACAAGTTGGTAAGTATGGATTGTAAAGAGGTTCCTATAACACAACCAGTGAGGTGTTGATGTGTGACAAGTTGGTAAGTATGGATTGTAAAGAGGTTCCTATAACACAACCAGTGAAGTGTTGATGTGTGACAAGTTGGTAAGTATGGATTGTAAAGAGGTTCCTATAACACAACCAGTGAGGTGTTTATGTGTGACAAGTTGGTAAGTATGGATTGTAAAGAGGTTCCTATAACACAACCAGTGAGGTGTTTATGTGTGACAAGTTGGTAAGTATGAATTGTAAAGAGATTCCTATAACACAACCAGTGAAGTGTTGATGTGTGATAAGTTGGTAAGTATGTATTGTTAAGAGGTTCCTATAACACAACCAGTGAGGTGTTGATGTGTGACAAGTTGGTAAGTATGGATTGTAAAGAGGTTCCTATAACACAACCAGTGAAGTGTTGATGTGTGACAAGTTGGTAAGTATGGATTGTAAAGAGGTTCCTATAACACAACCAGTGAGGTGTTGATGTGTGACAAGTTGGTAAGTATGGATTGTAAAGAGGTTCCTATAACACAACCAGTGAAGTGTTGATGTGTGACAAGTTGGTAAGTATGGATTGTAAAGAGGTTCCTATAACACAACCAGTGAAGTGTTTATGTGTGACAAGTTGGTAAGTATGGATTGTAAAGAGGTTCCTATAACACAACCAGTGAGGTGTTGATGTGTGACAAGTTGGTAAGTATGTATTGTAAAGAGGTTCCTATAACACAACCAGTGAAGTGTTTATGTGTGATAAGTTGGTAAGTATGGATTGTAAAGAGGTTCCTATAACAAATGATTGGAAAAGCATATATGCACAAAGTTGTTAATATATACAAGTTGGGACAATCACATCACTGTCAATTGTTATGATTGTACAAAATGATGATCAAAACTGATGAACGTGACAGGGTTCATCAAAGTGTCACATATAGACATTCCTTGTTTGTGCTATATGTACCTTTATAGAATCAGGGGGTCATGTCAGTAATGATTTTTCGTTTCCTGTATCTTTCTTGTCTTCTTTATTACCTATCTACTTCCTCTTTCTGGTGGTGTCTACCAATGTCTCATACGACCCTGACTGTTGTGTCTACCAATGTCTCATACGACCCTGACTGTTGTGTCTACCATTGTCTCATACGACCCTGACTGTGGTGTCTACCAATGTCTCATACGACCCTGACTGTTGTGTCTACCGATGTCTCATACGACCCTGACTGTTGTGTCTACCAATGTCTCATACGACCCTGACTGTTGTGTCTACCAATGTATCATACGACCCTGACTGTTGTGAGGAGGTTAAGCCCCAAACAAACAAATGTCAATAATGAGGTTGGTAATACTAACACAGTATATGTGTGGTAATGTACAGCTGATACTGACACTGTAGGTTTGGTAATGTACAGCTGATATATACACTGTATATGTGTGGTAATATACTGATGATATTTACACTATATATGTGTGGTAATGTACAGCTGATACTTACACTTTAGGTGTGTGGTAATGTACAGCTGATACTTACACTGTAGGTGTGTGGTAATGTACAGCTGATACTTACACTAGGTAGCTGATATTTATACTGTAGGTGTGTGGTAATGTACAGCTGATACTTACACTATATATGTGTGGTAATGTACAGGTGATACTTACACTTTAGGTGTGTGGTAATGTACAGGTGATATTTACACTAGGTAGCTGATATTTATACTGTAGGTGTGCGGTAATGTTCAGCTGATACTTACACTGTAGGTTTGGTAATGTACAGCTGATATTTACACTGTAGGTTTGGTAATGTACAGCTGATACTTACACTGTAGGTGTGTGGTAATGCACAGCTGATACTTACACTTTAAGTGTGTGGTAATGTACAGCTGATACTTATGCTGTAGGGGTGTGGTAATGTACAGCTGATATTTACACTGTAGGTGTGTGGTAATGTACAGCTGCTATTTACACCGTAGGGGTGTGGTAATGTACAGTTGATATTTACAATGTAGGGGTGTGGTAATGTACAGCTGATTTTTACACTGTATATGAGTGGTAATGTACAGCTGATATTTACAATGTAGGGGTGTGGTAATGTACAGCTGATATTTACACTGTATATGTGTGGTAATGTACAGCTGATATTTACACTGTATGTGTGTGGTAATGGACAGCTGATATTTACACTGTAGATGTGTGGTATTGTACAGCTGATATTTATACTGTAGGGGTGTGGGAATGTACAGCTGATACTTACACTAGGTAGCTGATATTTATACTGTAGGTGTGTGGCAATGTACAGCTGATATTAACAATGTAGGTGTGTGGTAATGCACAGCTGATACTTACACTGTATGTGTGTGGTAATGTTCAGCTGATATTTACAATTTAGGGGTGTTGTAAAGTCAGCTGATACTAACACTGTATATGTGTGGTAATGTACAGCTGATACTTACACTGTAGGTTTGGTAATGTACAGCTGATATTTATACTGTAGGTGTGTGGTAATGTACAGCTGATATTTACACTTTAAGTGTGTGGGAATGTACAGCTGATATTTATACTGTAGGTGTGTTGTAATGTACAGCTGATACTTATCTTGTAGGTGTGTGGTAATGTGTAGCTGATATTTACACTGTAGGGGGGTGGTAATGTACAGTTGATATTTACACTGTAGGTGATACTTACACTGTAGGTGTGTGGTAATGCACAGCTGATATTTACACTGTAGGTGTGGTAATGTACAGCTGATTTTTACACTGTATATGAGTGGTAATGTACAGCTGATCTTTACACTGTAGGGGTGTGGAAATGTACAGTTGATATTTTCCCTGTAGGTGTGTGGTAATGTACAGCTGATATTTACACTTAAGGTGTGTGGTAATGTACAGCTGATATTTACACTGTAGGGGTGTGGTAATGTACAGTTGATATTTTCACTGTAGGTGTGTGGTAATGTACAGCTGATTTTTACACTGTATATGAGTGGTAATGTACAGCTAATATTTACAATGTAGGTGTGTGGTAATGTACAGCTGATATTTACACTGTATGTGTGTGGTAATGTACAGCTGATATTTACACTGTAGGTGTGTGGTAATGTACAGCTGATACCTACACTGTAGGTGTGTGGTAATGTACAGCTGATATTAACAATGTAGGTGTGTGGCAATGTACAGCAGATATTTACACTGTAGGTGTGTGGAAATGTACAGCTGATACGTACACTGTAGGTTTGGTAATGTACAGCTGATATTTACAATGTAGGGGTGTTGTAAAGACAGCTGATACTAACACTGTATATGTGTGGTAATGTACAGCTGATACTTACACTGTATATGTGTGGTAATGTACAGCTGATATTTACAATGTAGGGGTGTGGTAATTTACAGCTGATATTTACACTTTAGGTGTGTGGTAATGTACAGCTGATATTTACACTGTAGGTGTGTGGTAATGTACAGCTGATACTTACACTGTAGGTGTGTGGTAATGTACAGCTGATATTTACACTTTTGGTGTGTGGTAATGTACAGCTGATATTTACACTGTGGGTGTGTGGTAATGTACAGCTGATATTTACACTGTAGGTGTGTGGTATGTACAGCTGATACTTACACTGTAGGTGTGTGATAATGTACAGCTGATATTTACACTTTTGGTTTGTGGTAATGTACAGCTGATATTTACAATGTAGGGGTGTGGTAATGTACTGCTGATATTTACACTGTAGGTGTGGGGTAATGTACAGCTGATACTTACACTGTATGTTTGGTAATGTACAGATGATATTTACACTGTAGGTGTGTGGGTATGTACAGCTGATATTTACACTGTAGGCGAATGGTAATGTACAGCTGATATTTACAATGTAGGTGTGTGGTAATGTACTGCTGATATTTACACTTTAGGTGTCTGGTAATGTACAGCTGATATTTACAATGTAGGTGTGTGGTAATGTACAGCTGATATTTACACTGTAGGTGTATGGTAATGTACAGCTGATATTTACTCTAGGTTGCTGATATTTACACTGTAGGTGTGTGGTTATGTACAGCTGATATTTACACTGTAGGTGTGTGGTTATGTACAGCTGATATTTACACTTAAGGTGTGTGGTAATGTACAGCTGATATTTACACTGTAGGTGTGTGGAGGAGCGAGGCCACAACTTTCCATTGAAGCCCTACCTGGTGTTTAACATCGACGAAGGTCAAGAACAGAGCTCACAGGCAGGGTAAGAAAAGTCAATGTAAAATGAATGCATAAAGTGGGAGTGTTTTAAAACATCTGCAGCATCCTAGATTTCTTCAGTCTAAGGGATCTGTGAGGAAATTGTTTCCATGTAGCCTATGAGAGTTTTGAAGAAAGTCTCAAACTAAAAGAGTTGTGTGGCAAATCTTTAACACATCTTAAGGGAGGCAAATCTTCAGGTGTCTCTGATAAAGGTCTACGGCAGTAACTTAAGAAAAAAACCAAATACATCATGGATGATATGGGGAAATATTGGGAAAAGGAGGTTATAAAGTAACAGTACTTCACACAATCCAAGATGGCGTCCATATTTAACTGAATATACACATTGTTTGAGCACTGTCAAATGCAATCATATGTGAGTAAATTCAATCATAATATAAAGCTCTATCAAGTGTTTGGTTTTCAAGTCTTGCACAGTTTCTGCAGATTAATCACTTATTGACCATGCTAAGGGGACCGGACATAATTGCTTTGTTAGGGTCGAGTGAACACACATGCCAGACTCCTGTTAACTTGTCCTCTGGTCCCCCTCCCCCACTAATTACAGGCCCCCTACGGCATACACCACCCTGCTACAAACCAGTGTTGGACACTGCTGGACTAGGGTGCCTTGTCATTTAATCAGTGTCTAATTCTTGTGTTAAAGACTCCCTTTAGTACAAGTAACCAGGCGATACGGGCCATGCTGTTAAGCTGATAGGGTAGGGAGGATTTCTAACTGAAGATGAAACGACTCTGTATCAGCTGATTCACCTGGGGAGAACCCTGATGGATGCGGCTAAACCATGTGACACTAATACATCTATAGACCAATATAATCAAGTACAAAACGTCCGTAAAAAATATTGAGTTTGATCTCAGGCCGAGATATGATTGTGTTATAGGTCCATAAAGAATGAGGCTGAGGCTCACTTTGTGGCAATGCTCTGCCACAAAATCATACGCCACACAGACATCCCACAGACAGACATTGGAATCATTGCCCCGTACCAGAGCCAGAAGTCTTTGATTGTTGATTACTTAAGACAATGGTGAGTACCACTCTTCTACTATATGTTAGTGAGCCTGTATATGCTTTGTGATTAAATCAGTAAATAATGAGGGGATGTTAACCATATAAAATGTAGTGAGTATCAGATTTGATGTTATAGAAACAATAATTAATGTACAAACTTTGTCCTTCAGGAAAATGGCAAGCATTGAGGTGGGGACTGTAGATGGATTCCAGGGCAGAGAAAAAGAGGTTATCATCATGTCCTGTGTCAGGGCCAGCAGTTCTGGAGGCATCGGGTATGTATCAAGGTCAAGGGTCATCATCATATGTCCTGTGTCAGGGCCAGCATTTCTGGAGGCATCGGGTATGTATCAAGGTCAAGGGTTATCATCATATGTCCTGTGTCAGGTCCAGCAGTTCTGGAGGCATTGGGTATGTATCAATGTCAAGGGTCATCATCATGTCATGTGTCAGGGCCAGCAGCTCTGGAGGCATTGGGTATGTATCAAGGTCAAGGGTCATCATCATGTCCTATGTCAGGGCCAGCAGTTCTGGAGGCATTGGGTATGTCTCAAGGTCAAGGGTCATCATCATGTCCTGTGTCAGGGCCAGCAGTTCTGGAGGCATTGGGTATGTATCAAGGTCAAGGGTCATCATCATGTCATGTGTCAGGGCCAGCAGGTCTGGAGGCATTGGGTATGTATCAAGGTCAAGGGTCATCATCATGTCATGTGTCAGGGCCAGCAGTTCTGGAGGCATTGGGTATGTATCAAGGTCAAGGGTCATCATCATGTCATGTGTCAGGGCCAGCAGGTCTGGAGGCATTGGGTATGTATCAAGGTCAAGGGTCATCATCATATGTCCTGTGTCAGAAAGATCTATAGACCTATATAAAGATAAAACTCACCATTATGCCATGTCAGGGACAGTAATTCTACAATATACCTGCAACACAAGGTGTTATTATTTGTATGAATGTTACCTCTCTATTTCTAATTGACCTCACCTCTGACCTTTTTCTTGCAGATTTGTTGGCAATAGGAAGAGGATGAATGTAGCTTTGACCAGGGCGAGGTCAGCAATGTATGTGGTGGGAAACCTCAGCTCTCTAGAGGTAAGCTTACTGAACAGAATTAGAGAGTTCCAGTTGTATTTATAAAGCATAACATACATAAGAATGATATAAGGCGTAAGTATTTATAGAAAATGAAAAATCTCATCCTCAATTACAGAGGCCTGGAGGAGACTGGAGGATCCTGATAGACGATGCAAGGAACCGCAGTGTTGTTCTCGAATGTGGTGGTCAGACCAACTTCTCTACTGTTATACAGGCCTGTTTTAAACGGATGCCAAGCTGACATGTTGAGGTATACTGGGACAATCCACCAAGCTGACATGTTAAGGTATACTGGGACAATCCACCAAGCTGACATGTTGTGGTATACTGGGACAATCCACCAAGCTGACATGTTGATGTATACTGGGACAATCCACCAAGCTGACATGTTGAGGTATACAGGGACAATCCACCAAGCTGACATGTTGATGTGTACTGGGACAATCCACCAAGTTGACATGTGGAGGTAAACTGGGACAATCCACCAAGCTGCCATGTTGAGGTAAACTGGGACAATCCACCAAGCTGCCATGTTGAGGTAAACTGGGACAATCCACAAAGCTGACATGTTGATGTATACTGGGACAATCCACCAAGGTGGCATGTTGAGGTAAACTGGGACAATCCACCAAGCTGACATGTTGATGTTTACTGGGACAATCCACCAAGTTGACATGTTGAGGTAAACTGGGACAATCCACCAAGCTGACATGTTAAGGTATACTGGGACAATCCACCAAGCTGACATGTTGAGGTATACTGGGACAATCCACCAAGCTGACATGTTGATGTTTACTGGGACAATCCACCAAGTTGACATGTGGAGGTAAACTGGGACAATCCACCAAGCTGACATGTTGATGTAAACTGGGACAATCCACCAAGCTGGCATGTTGAGGCAAACTGGGACAATCCACCAAGCTGACATGTTGATGTGCATACTGGGACAATCCACCAAGCTGACATGTTGAGGTATACTGGGACAACCCACCAAGCTGACATGTTGATGTATACTGGGACAATCCACCAAGCTGCCTTGGAGATTTGAAAACAATCCGCTTACCTATAATGTGGAGGTCTATCAGGAGACAACTTGACATACAAACAACTGTAACAATCAACAATCCATGTACTTATATGGAAGTATACAGGGAACTCCACAAACCTGGCTTTGGAGATCTGTAACGATCTGTTAACATTTGGAAGTCTACTGGAATAATCCACCAAGCTGACATGTTGATGTATACTGGGACAATCCACCAAGCTGACATGTTGATGTATACTGGGACAATCCACAAACCTGACATGTGGGGGTGTACTAGGACTGTATTACTTACATTGTACCATATTCTCTAAGTCTACACTGTATTACTTCCATTGTACCATATTCTCTAAGTCTACACTATATTACTTACATTGTACCATATTCTCTAAGTCTACACTATATTACTTACATTGTACCATATTCTCCAAGTCTACACTGTATTCCTTACATTGTACCATATTCTCTAAGTCTACGCTGTATTCCTTACATTGTACCATATTCTCCAAGTCTACACTGTATTCCTTACATTGTACCATATTCTCCAAGTCTACACTGTATTCCTTACATTGTACCATATTCTCCAAGTCTACACTGTATTCCTTACATTGTACCATATTCTCCAAGTCTACACTGTATTCCTTACATTGTACCATATTCTCCAAGTCTACACTGTATTCCTTACATTGTACCATATTCTCCAAGTCTACACTGTATTAATTACATTGTACCATATTCTCTAAGTCGACACTGTATTACTTACACTGTATTACTTACATTGTACCATATTCTCTAAGTCTATACTGTATTACTTCCATTGTACCATATTCTCTAAGTCTACACTGTATTACTTACATTGTACCATATTCTCTAAGTCTTCACTGTATTACTTACATTGTACCATATTCTCTAAGTCTACACTGTACTGTATTACCACATTCTGTTACTTTTATTATTATTGTATGTTAAATTTTGGGAGAAATGCAATCAATCAGTGTTAGGTGATATCTCAATGTTCACTGATAGGGTGTAAAGGCCTTGTGCTGAACCTTGAAAAAGGTGGAGATTGTGTGCTTTAATGAACAGGACTACTTGCTTATTTACCTTTACATATTGTAAGTACAATACAATGTATTTACCTGTACACATTGTCAGTACAGTACAATGTATTTACCTATACACATTGTCAGTACAGTACAATGTATTTACCTGTACACACTGTCAGTACAGTACAATGTATTTACCAAAACACATTGTCAGTACAGTACAATGTATTTACCTGTACACACTGTCAGTACAATACAATGTATTTACCTGTAAACATTGTCAGTACAATACAATGTATTTACCTGTACATACTGTCAGTACAGTACAATGTATTTACCTGTACACATTTTCAGTACAATACAATGTATTTACCTGTACACACTGTCAGTACAGTACAATGGATATACCTATACATATGGTAAGTACAGTACAATGTATATCCCTGTACACATTGTCAGTACAGTACATTGTATTTACCTGTACACACTGTCAGTACAGTACAATGGATATACCTATACATATGGTAAGTACAGTACAATGTATATCCCTGTACACATTGTCAGTACAGTACATTGTATTTACCTGTACACACTGTCAGTACAGTACCATGTATTTACCTGTACACACTGTCAGTACAGTACAATGGATATACCTATACATATGGTAAGTACAGTACAATGTATATACCTGTACACATTGTCAGTACAGTACAATGTATTCACCTATACACATGGTAAGTACAGTACAATGTATTTACCTGTACACATTTTCAGTACAATACAATGTATTTACCTGTAAACATTGTCAGTACAATACAATGTATTTACCTATACACATGGTAAGTACAGTACCATGTATTTACCTGTACACACTGTCAGTACAGTACAATGTATAAACCTATACATATGGTAAGTACAGTACAACGTATTTACCTGTACACATTGTTAGTACAGCACAATGTATTTATCTGTACACATTGTCAGTACAGTACAATGTATTTCCCTGTACACATTGTCAGTACAATACAATGTATTTACCTGTAAACATTGTCAGTACAATACAATGGATTTACCTGTACATACTGTCAGTACAGCACAATGTATTTACTTGTACACATTTTCAGTACAATACAATGTATTTACCTGTACACACTTTCAGTACAGTACAATGTATTTACCTGTACCCACTGTCAGTACAATACAATGTATTTACCTGTAAACATTGTCAGTACAATACAATGTATTTTCCTGTACACATTGTCAGTACAATACAATGAATTTACCTGTACATACTGTCAGTACAGTACCATGTATTTACCTGTACACATTGGTAGTACAGTACAATGTATTTATCTGTACACATTGTCAGTACAGTACAATGTATTCACCTATACACATGGTAAGTACAGTACAATGTATTTACCTGTACCCACTGTCAGTACAATACAATGTATTTACCTATACACATGGTAAGTACAGTACAATGTATTTACCTATACACATGGTAAGTACAGTACAAAGTATTTACTTATAAACAATTTACGATATGTACTGTACTAGATATTTCAGGGGATTCTGTCGTCTGTAACCATCCATCTAGTAAGGTGAAGGTCATTGAATGTGACCTTGATTATTTTACCCAGTATGAAATCAGCTGTGATATTTGTGTATGAATAAACTTTTGATTTTTAATATAATTGTGGTTTGATGATGTACAAGTTCTGTGGACAGAACCTGAGTATGGTAAGGTTGACCTGATACTTGTAAGTTTTGTGTATACTAGGTTGTGATGATATAAGGATCAATGTTCCAAATAAGTGTTGGTTGTGTTGAGAATTTTTATTTTCAGTCAATCATTATCATCTCATCTGTACAGTGTTAAGATCCCTAACCCTTAACCTTGTATGGGTGATTGGTGGGCATGAAGAGATTAACACTCACACTACAAGGATTAGCTCATTGGCATGGCTCCTGCAGACTGTGCCAAATATATGATAGTTTGTAATTGGGCATTTAAGTATTTGAAACTGTAAGTTTGTAATTGGGCATTTAAGTATTTGAAACTGTACTTATCTTGAAGAGTTGATCATTAAGTATGTCTCCCCTTCGAATGAAGGGAGACATATTGTATTAGTACTGGTTCTTCTTCTTCTTCTTATGGTTCTTCTAATCGCAACTTGTCCGGGCCATAACTTTTAAACCATTAAAGATATCTTAATGAAATTTGAGTTATGCATGCATCACCCATAGAAGGTGTGCAGTGCACAGGAATTAGGTCACCGTGACCTTCACCTCAAGGTCAAAGGTCAAAGGTCAAATAAGTGCAACATTTTCAGTAAATTCTTGTCTGGCCCATAAATTTTAAACCGTGAAAGATATCTTTTTCAAACTTAAAGTATACCTGCATCACCCACAGAAGGTGTGCAGTGCACTGGAATTAGGTCTTGTTCTCCCCTATATACAGAGTTATGGCCCTTTGTTTGTTTTTTGATACCAAAGTTTGTCCGAAGCATAAGTTCCATGTTCTGTCACCTACATTGATTAAACTTACCTTATTTATGTATCTTCTGAAGGCGGAATCTCTCGCAATAAAATCAGGTTTTGTGACCCATTATATAATGGGCCTTTGTTTATTTTTTATATCGAAGTTTGTCCACGGCACAACTTCTAAACTGTTAAAGATATCTTAAACAAAATTTAGGTATACCTGCATCACCCACTGAAGCCGTGCAGTGCCCCCCTATATACAGAGTTATGGCCCTTATACCGAAGTTTGTCTGAAGCATAAGTTCCATGTTATTTCACCTACGTTGACCAAACTTACCATATCTATGTATCTAGGGAAGGCGGAATCTCTCGCACTAAAATCAGGTCTTGTGCCCCTCTATATATAGAGTTATGGCCCTTTGTTTATTTTTTATATCTTAGTTTGTCCACAGCATAACTTCCATTTTATTTCACCTACGTTGACCAAACTTGCTATAGTTATGTATCTTGTGAAGTAGGAGTGTCGCATTCTAAATTCGGGTCTCGTGCCCCACTATATAAAGAGATATATATGGCCCTTTGTTAATTTTTTATACCAAAGTTTGTCTATTGGCTACAAAAACAAGTTTCTAATTACTAAAAGGCATCTTTGGGACAAGGGAATCAAATGTAGTATAAAGGAAAGGATTGTCCCCTGGGATGGGAAGAGAAATGTTGTATAAAGGAAAGGTTTTTAATAAAAATGTCCAAATGCAATTGGTATCAGCTGCAGTGGCTGTGAACTAAATTATCCAAGTTAGAGGGGGTATACTGGAATGTCCTTCTGTAGACAGAGGGGGTATACTGGAATGTCCGTCTGTAGACAGAGTGGGTATACTGGAATGTCCGTCTGTAGACAGAGGGGGTATACTGGAATGTCAGTATGTAGACAGACGGGGTATACTGGAATGTCCGTCTATAGACAGGGGGTATACTGGAATGTCAGTCTATAGACAGAGTGGGTATACTGTAATGTCCTTCTGTAGACAGAGGGGGTATACTGGAATGTCCATCTGTGACAGAGGGGGTTTACTGGAATGTCCGTCTGTAGACAGAGGGGGTATACTGGAATGTCCGATGTCAGTCTGTAGACAGAGGGGGTATAATGGAATGTCCGTCTGTAGACAGAGGGGGTATACTGGAATGTCCGTCTGTAGACAATGTTGTTCACACAACTCCCCTTTTAATTTTCAGCAAAGTTTTATGAAACTTCACTGGATAGAAAGACAAGTATGTCATGTCAAAATTTGAAGTCCACATTTGTGTTCACACATGTACATTAAGTCAGTGTTGTCCAGCTGTGGTGACTGTGGGACATTGGACTACAGTGGGTTACAGCTAGTTTGTGAAGATGGTTCTGTGAGCTGTACAGCATGTCTGTACAGTGAAATTCGCCGAAATCCACTTTGTTAGATCCAGAGTTGTTTCCTCTGGGTGATAGTTAGAATTGTACTTTTCATGTCTTAAGTGTCAAGACCACTTAATAATAAGAATTTTTTAATACTAAAATTTGTGTTCTGTTCTATGTGAATTATTATCGTCAGAGATAAGTCACTATGTGTGAAACCTGAAGGACTGCACTGTATCTGTTCCATCAACTTGACTTCAGCTGATGAGTTCTTCACACTTTTTAGCTCACTTAGTCCGAAGGACCATAGTGAGCTTATGCCGTGGCGCAGTGTCCGCCTTCCGTTGTCAACTTTTTCTTTAAAACCTATCTCCTCTTAAACGCCAAAGAGAATTTCAACCAAATTTAGTCTGAAGCATCACTAGGGGGAAGGCAATCATTTCTTAAATAAGTGAGGTTGGTTTGACCCCTGAGGCCAGGGGGGCGGGGCCCTGAAGGGGAACTTAACTAAATTTGCTTTAAAACACATCTCCTCCTAAACGCCAAAGAAGATATCAATCAAATTTGCTCTGAAACTTCATTGGGGGAGGGCAATCATTGCCTAAATAAATGAGACTGGTTCGACACCTGGGGCTAGGAAGACCGGGCCCCAAACAGGAAAATTATCTAATATTTTGCTTTAAGACGCTAATACCCCCTAATTGCCTGAGTGGATTGTACAAAATATGGTCAACAACCTTATTGAGGATAAACAAGCATTTCTTAATTGAATGAGGTTGATTTGACCCCTGCAGTCCTAAGAAATGGTACAGCTAGATTATGATATTCTATGGTGTAGTTTTCATAAATTGTTAAAAATTGGTTTCTAGGTTTATAAAAGCTTATAGTTGAATGAAAATTTAAGTATTGTCTAATTACACCCTGTAATATGACATATTACTTATTTCAAAATCTGTTATCATGGCAACTCAATAGAGGCCCTGATTAGTTGAGGGTCAGTCAGATAGTGTGGTCCCAGTTGGGTTAGAACATAGATCTTGTCTGGTTTTGAGGAAATTTCATATAAAGATGTACTAATGCATTCAGTTGTAATGACTTAAATATAAAACCAGGTGAGCGATACAGGTCCAATGGACCTCTTGTTTATGTCCTGCAATAACTTTGTGCTGTGCCTATAGTGTACCCTTGTCCATACGTACGTCAAGCTGGTTAGGTTTTTGAATGAATGCGAGTTATGGACCAAGTACTGCAGCTAGGGT